ATGTGTCTTGCTGGTGTGTCTTAGCTGAATAAGGGCATCAGCTGACATTGTACAAAACAAAATCAGAGATCCTTGGAACAATTAAGACGTGGGTTAGCCCAGGGCCACCCAAACTGGGGGACATAAAATTTGATTTTGCCAATTTGAAAACTCATTTATTTCCACTTTTAAATATTTTTCACTTTAAGGGCATAATTCTGCCCCGTGTGCCCACAGAGCTATAGATCAAAGTCACTCACAAGGGGTTATAATTTAGTCTCTGCAGCACAGTATACAGCCTATAAACTAATAAAAAGCACATTTTTTCCTATGTGCCTGAAGGTAGATTTAACACGACTCTGTTGTCCTGGCATTCTTGTTAACAACCTTTATGCTTTAGTGCGTCTGCAACTTAACTGATGTTTAAAAGATAAATCTGATATCATATTATATTATCGATAAATCCCATAAAAAGACTGAAATGTGTTGGTCCTTCTCAGTACTTCCTATGACACTCACACACAAGCCTGGTGGATTCTAATGAAAAAATATATCTAAAAATGAGTCACAAATAGTTTTATGTACTCTCATACAACAGTTCGTATGATATTAGGGGTCGACAGATAATCGGCCTGGCCGATTATCGGGGCCGATATTATGAATTTTTAGGGTTATTGGTATCAGTGATTTTTTCCACCAATATGCCGATATACAGTTTTGTTTTCCTTAGCTGCGCTGTTTTTCCCCTGGCGTGCTTCTCACTGCCTGCACGTACCACTCTAGGCTCTTAAAAGCAAACTCAAGACCTACCTTTTTAGCATGACTTTTAATTGAGCTGTCCTTTTTGTTTTATTTTATTTTATTATTATTTTCATATTTTTCCATTCATTTGTTTACTTGTCAAAGTTTTTTTCAAAGTGCTGCTGGCAGCTCCTTGTACTGTTTCATTGGAAAAGTTCCCAGAATAAATATAGGCTTAACTGCATTTGAATGTAGTGCTTTGTCAGTGTTTAATTTTTTAATTCTGTGTTCAGCTATCGGTATCTCTGTTTCATAATAACTGGTATCGGCATCGGCTCTGAAAAAACCATATCAGTCGATCCCTATATGATATCTAACAAATTAGCGCCTCACGAATGGCATTGTCATGTCACCTCCTTAACATAAAGTTACGTACTTAATATAAAGTTCTGTAGGTTAGGTTTGGGTAAGTAAAGTTACATAGGTAAAGAAGCATGGTTTGGCATTGTCACCTTATGTACTTAACGTTAAGTTACGTACTTAATGTAAAGTTATGTATGGTCAGGTCTAGGAAAAGAAACATGGCTGGGCGTTGTCACCTTACGTACTGAAAGTTACATAGGTTAGGTTTTGGCATTAACTCACAATTAACTTGGTGTCACATGGGACACAAACACCAGTCCTATGTTTGTTTGAGCCATCCACCACCACAACCACATTGACTTCTTTGTGATTACAGCCTTCCCTATTACGTCGGTTATATACTGATAACTTGCTTGTGATTATGTGGGTTGTAGGGTTGCATACAAATTCTGGTACGTTACTTTTTACAGGTATTTTTTAAAGCACATTGGGCACTGTAGTTTTCAGCAAATGTTACACATACAGGAGGAAACAGTGCATATGTTTGGTACTATTTTCAGCAGTGGATTAATACACATTTGGTGCTCTATTGAATATTTTCGGCAGCAGTTTGGGACTGACTCAAATTAAACTACAGACTTATCCTTTAATACTACAAATACAATATATAAGGCAGCCTTATTTCAACTGTTTATATCTGTTAAAGGGAACAATCATTTTATCATGACGACTTCTATGGTCTTGGGTTAGTTAATTAATTACTTATTAGTATTAAGAAAGGACTGCTTTACAATGTGCTCACAATTTCACTTGTATTGGTTAGCATGCAGGGATATCCACTGCCATTATACTAATTTTTCAATTTTTGAAAAATGATGACATTTTGCATGTCTTGCACATTTCAAAAACAACACATTTATGGTGGGATAACACAGTGCAACAATGTAACACCACTATAATTGCCACTGACCTTGCTCTCCATCAATCACAGCTGTTTTGACAGTAAATGACAGATCAATAAATTCCTTGGTTGTTTCGAGCTTTTAACTCTTCGGCTTTGTGTCTCCATCCCATACATTTTTTGAAGTGACATTAGGAATAGTGAGAGTGACTGCGAAACTGTATTCTTGAGCGGAGGAAAACAGGACAAAGCCGTTGCCACAAGCGGCCTCTTTTTTTTTTTTTCAGGTCAAAAATGTCTTACAAATTTGAATCTCATTACCATGTCATGAATACGTCTTTGGGAATCCATTAGGCATTTCCTGCCTAAAACTACAATAAGAATTCACATTCAACCAAAAAAGAAAAGAAAGAGTGGGGAATGAGAATAAAGCCCCAGCGAGAACATTACTGTAAAGCTGTTTTAGCTCTTTCAGTCCACTTAAGAGGAGGCAGGAGAAAAAAAAGAAAGATGTGAGTGACTGACAGATGATAGCAATAAAAGTAAGAACAAACTGGCCATTTTACTGCGGTAGGGCCATTTGAGAAGGGATTATTAACTTGTCAGCATTTCAAACTGAGACACAACTTTTTCTCCTCCAAAACACATCCCCATGTCTCTGTTACTTTTATTAGAAAGTCTTAAAACCTTTTGACCCCAGAGGGCCTCCGTTATTGGCTGTTAATAGGGACTCGCTGGTCAGTGGGGAGACCCTAAGTGCCCTATTAATCATTTGTTTAGAGCTCGGGTCTATTTTGGAAGCTCTGTGTTTAGTGTGGGTTTAAAAATAGGAGGAGACAGATTGAGACAGCAGTCCGCCACTCATCGCTCAAGCTGTCAGGACGCGTGGGCCCTTGGGGACGTGGGCAGGAGACCCCTCGAGCCACTGAAGTTCAAAGGTCGCAAGGTTTATCATTATTACCCACTTACTCCGTGGGCGCTGACAGAATCATTGTTGGTTTGATTGCTAAAAATAGAGGCTGAGATGCTGCTCAAAATCATTTCACTGAAGGTAATTTTAAAATCATTCTTCCACATAAACAGTCAAGAGTTGTATGTCAAAGCTCCGAGACACTGTAGTTTACATGCCTCAAGTAAATTTAGCAGTTCATGAATAATACACAAGCAAAGCAAATGCTGCTACATGCTTCCTACACCAAATGCCACAAGTAAGTGAGTTGTTTGCTGGCAGATTGACAGTGATGGGAAATAAAATGTCATGGGATCAAATCATTAATCTTGTCAAATATTGTCATATGACAAGGGAAAATACAGGTGTGGAGATTGCATCGGCTGATAAAACATTACTTACAGCCATTTTTCCAATAAGCGATGGACTCAGTGCTGTCAATATTTGGAGGGGATGTGAGGTATGCCCTAGCGAAGGCCATTTTGTGAGGAGCAGAGAGCCTGCTGGGAAAAATACAGTGGTTCATGCTGGGTCTCCGGGAAGCTGAAAAGCCACCGGCAAAAAGCTATGAATTATTTTGAGCGCAAAATACATTTTCTTTGAAGACTGTCGGGCCATTAGAGCCCTTTTGCTCCCTTTTAAATTGTTTTTATGCTGTGAGTAATGTTAACCTTTGCTTTTGTAGTCATGAAATTCTCTCTGCACCTTTTTCCCTCCTGGCACAAAGCACAGATGGGCTGGAAAAGCTGGAAATAAAGTATAGGAACCATTTACTGCGAGGAATGAAAAGGTGTGGGGAAGGAACTAAGGCTTTTATTCTGACGTCTATGGACCTCTGTTCCCTAGTACAGTACAGTCTCAACGTGCATAAGTATAAACCCATACACAGATAACCATGTTTTGTAATATCGCTCGAGGTGCATCTTGCAGCAAAAACTTTTAAAAATATTTCGCCACTACTCGTAACCTATGATCAGAAATGTCACTCTCATGACTCCTTTTCATATCGGACTCACTTCTATAGTGAATGAAATAGGAAAAATAAATCTTTTCTCCATTTTTCTGGAGACCCCCTGAGACTCCCTCTAGGACCCCTGAGGGTTTCTGGACCTCTGGTTTGGACCCAGTGTTTTACATGATCACTGTGGAGCAATCACAAGATAAGAAGCCCCAAGGCACAGACATGTAGAGGGCCTCAACTCTTAACCCTACAGCATCCCTCCATATTGTTGGAGGTTGCTTTGCACGTTTTCTGGTATTTTACAGGTTAACCCTAACTTTAAAGTGTTGTTGGTTTAATACTGTAGCATACCAATTATTATAAAAACCATCAAAAGAAACCTGTTATGCTGTTTTTTTCAAGCAGGGTTTGAATTTCTTTACTACTACCTAAGTATGCTTTGTGCATTAAAAAAATTGATACTAGATGAGCCTCGATATCAGAAATGATAGGATCTGGATTAAATAAAGGGAGCAGGATATGGATAGTTTTGAATGAGCCCTACTTAGAAATACTTATCGCAGTCACTCAAACAGGATCTTGAGCTGGTGCCCCAAGGCATCTTGGGTCCCTGTGCCTGTGTACTGGGCCCATGCATAGCGGTCACACATTCAGGCAGGGGACAGAATCTGATTTAATTGCCCTAGAAATTATTTTGATTGTTGTTTTTTCATTTAAAACAATAGTTTCTCCAACTGTTTTTAACATGCATGTTTAAAATATAATCCGAATACAAAAAAGATACATTTAATAATACATTTAAACACAGTAGGGTAGATTTAGACTCATTATTTATTACAAAACAAAAGAGGAAATGTGCTTTCACAGTGTGCACAAACATTAACAGCACAGATTTTAAGGCATTTTCATTCAGTAGGTCTAGTTAAATATAAGGCACAGGTGTAGAAAGAGTCTGTCTCACTGTAAAACAAACAAACAAACAAACAAACAAACAAAAAAACCCCAACAAAAACACAAACAAAACCCTCATACATTATCAGATCAATTAAAAGATCTGATATTCCCAAGCCACTGACCAGTTAACCTCACGTGCCCCTGCACCACGTGCGCGGCTGATCCTCTTTCATCCTCCTTCCACTGCACCGGCGCGTGATCTCCATGGGAACGTCGTCACGCAGGAGGAAGTGAACGGGACGAGTTGACAGTTAGCTTGATTAGCATGGCAGCAAAGGTAAGCTGAGTTTTCAACTTCAGTTTCTCCTCTTTCTGGGGAGCTGTCGCGCTGGCGGTGGTGCTGCTCAGTCCCGGGAGTGTCTCCTCTCCTCCTCTGCGCTGGTTAGGGTGTCTGCCTGGAGGGCTGTTAAATGCCGGTTAGCCTGCTAAGAGGATGTGCTCGGGGTTAACACTGGGCATAAGGCAATGACATTGAGGCTTTACTGTAGCCGGTTAACAAGTGAATGTACAGTTGGCTTAGTCAAACTGACTGAACTGTCTTTCAACAATAATACAAAGGGCAGTAATGACACTGCTTTTTAATTCATGCTGCCCAGGCCCTCTGTCTCTAGGTTACCGGTGTGTCTTGGCTAAAACCCGGTTGTGGTCATAGTTAACCTTTGCTAGCATGATGCTATATGTTGTAGCACCCCGCCATAAACTGTCTGTTTTAACAGTTTCTACAGGCTTGAGACGTTTTAACATGGTTGTACTTAGACATACTGGTTGTTTGTATACAACCAGCATGGGTTAGAAACTGGTTCACTCTCACATTTTCGGACATTTTGGGTGTTTCTCAAAGTCAAGGAACGATCCTTAGACTGCTGAATTTCAAGAATCCTACCTCATCAAATCTCACCAAACGACTAAGGATCCTTCCGAATTTCACCAAGGATGTGAGTCCTTCCTTCAGAGAGATTCCAAGGATGCATGTGTATCATCAGCAGGTATCCATTACCCACAATTCTACACTTTCAGCATTGAATTTGCTGGGAGTGAAGGCAAGGCCTCTTCAATGAAACCTGCACAGTGGGATACTGACAAATATATCACTTATTTGCATTAATATCGCCAGGAGTTTATAATCATACAAGCATAAAAAAAAATCACTGACAGAAACCTCATAATTTATATTTTCAAATGTGTCCACTGTGGAACAATGCAATTTTTTAAATACTGTGATTTCGATAAAACATGAAAGTGTTTAAATTTATCATTTACAGCAGAGATGAAGCACTAAGTGCCACAAAAGTTTTGACTCTGAAAACACTGCTGACATTTGTTTAAATTGTACAACGACATTAGAGAGTGCCAGAATTATCACAGTACCCTGAAACCCCCTGACGCACACCTGGGGGCACTCGTTAGCCTGTTCCAATGTGTGTTCACCAAATGCTAGGAAGGATTCTTGCCTTGCCTCTGTAGGACGAGTCCTTCCAAGGAAGTATCCTTGACTTTGAGAAACACTCTTTCACGTGGTGCCAAATCAAAATGTCAACGCCATTTTGTCATTTTGACATCGTGGACATTTTGACGTGTCATAGTTGGACATGCATAGGTTAAATTGATAACATTAATAAGAGGCTCAACTCCATTAAGTGTCCCAGTAAGCTATCCCAGTGAGCTAGCATGCACAATTTCAGTGCAATACCCCTTAGTGTAATGCAGCTATCATTATTGTTATTAAATACACCAGTGCTTTTTCTACTGACATGTCAATATGTCAACCATGAAAACAGTCCTTTACACCAGCAACAAGTGGTCACAATTTAAATCTGAGGTGTTGCGAGATGATTAAGAGGAGAGGAAAAACTACACAAGACATCAAGAAACATATTTCTGCCACCCAAGATTAAGCTTGTGATAAACCGGTCTAAACCCAAGGTTCACTTACTGGCTTTTCCAAGAGCTCTCTAAATCTTCTGCCTTTTTCAATGACTGAGTAAAATCCACAGAGGGATACAGTCAAAAGCTCCATGAAAAGCCAGTAAGTGAACCTTGAGTTTAGAATATTTAATATGAGATGTTTGTCCCCAAGGTTAATAATCAGTCTCTACACTCAAAATTGTGTTTAATTTGACAGTTTCTATTTTGTCTCTTGGCTTGCCAGTTACTGGATACGTTGATGCACAATGCAAAGTTGGGCGTTTTGTATAAAAGTTGTGTTCACAGAAGTTTACTTAATGTCTTACAGACAGTTCTGCCTAGGAGGGCCGACCCCACTGAGTTGAAAGCTATTTTTGAAAAGGTAGGATTTTACCTATGCATTTTTTGTTTTCCCCTTTTGTGTTGGTCTCTTATGAAAGAAGCTTTTTCACTCATCATTCGATTTATGTTTGTTTCTTTTTTTTAAAATCAAATTGTAAGGCTCAGCGTGCGTCCTCCCTTGTGTCTGTATCTGTTTTTCTCCTTACAGTATGCCAGCGTCAAGAAGAATGACGAGAGCTTCATGTCACCGCAGGACTTCGTGAGCCGTTTCCTACATGCCCACACAGACATCCGGCTGTCGGACGAGGCCACAAAGCTGCTGGCTGGAGTGGTGGATCAGAAGAAAGACGGGTTGGTATTCTGATGTTTCTCTTTTAGATGATCTGATGTCTCACATGAATTAAGATGCTGGTACACTTTGAATTCGAAACTGAATTTATTAGATAGTCCTTGCAGCTTGGAGGGTATAATTATAACTGCTGATCAATGGAGGGCAAAAATAGCCATAGATTTTTTGCAAAATGATGAAAATAGAGGATCAACAACAGAGTGTCTCATGAGGATTATACTGTTTGAAAATATCTCTGGCAGAAGTTGATGATGTGACGATGAAATTGCTACGCTGAGTCTCAGTTTAAGCCACAATATTATCTTCTCATTAATATCAAGCAAACTGCTAAGTAGCAATCTTATGAAAGACTCTTATCAAAGCTATCAGAGCATGTATTATTTATCCCTTTGATCCCGTGTGACTACCTTTCTAGTGTTATTTTGCATTTTATAAACAAACCTATGACTGAAACCTTTGGTGTAAAAAATTCACAGGATGGATGTTCATACTTGAATTATATAGCAAAGAGACATCAAACCACCAAAGGCCCCTTTCAGGTGTTTCCTTCTTTGTAGATACACCCCCAATTTCACACTTACTCCTCCCCCCATCCCCATCACCCCTGTTTTTTTTTTTTACATTAATATGTATGTATTTAATGATACATAATGATGGGTAATAAAATGTTAGGGTAAGTCAAAAAAGATAAAATAAAAAAAAATACATTGCCATGGTAACCACCTGGGCTTCTACAAACAGCAAAGTGCACATGGCTGCGCAGTTTCATGTTATTACATCTGCTTTAAGGTGTGTGTGTGTGTGTGTGTGTGTGTGTGTGTGTGCGCAGAGGACGGTGAGATGGAGTAGTGGGGGTTTTGGAATTGGAAAAAGAGAGAGCAAGGCACACGCACACGCGCGCACACACACACACACACACACACACACACACACACACACACACACACACGCACGAAAAACACACACATGCACTGTAATTGCCCGTGCTATTCAGGAGCACTCCGTTGCATTGTGCGGCTTTGGAGCAGGATAAATGGTGGCCGTGGCATCAGGGTAAATCTATTAGGAACCCATGGCCCAGGCTTTGTATCTAAACCTCATTTTGGTTTTGTGGAGGGGAATGGAAATGATATGGGGGCAAAACAGGAAAAAAAAGTCTGTTTAGACCCAGGTTTAGATGTGATTCGTTTTTTTTTTTTTACAGTTGACATTGTAAAGGCCTTATGATGCTCGTACTTTACAATGTGTTATTTTCCTCCTGAACTTTGATAGATAAATGATTTGACGAGACAAAGAGTCTGGATGATTGTTCTGCAAACCTGTGTCTCACGAACACAAAACAGATGGATGTAAAAAGTAGAGATGCAGCAACATCAGCACCGTCAGTGGTAGCTGGAAACACAAATGCATTGTTTTTCGAGCGCTCATCCGAGCAAACCTTATGAAAGGAACAGGGCGCAAGACAAAACAAACCACTTTAGTGACTGTATTTTCATCCAGCTCGCCCGATCTCATGCAAATATGTTTGTGAACAATAAGTTTTGGTTGGTACATGAGCGTAGTATATTTGAAGCTCGTATGCCTGCTGCTGTTTTTGCCAGATAGGACTCCATTTCAGCAAGATGAGTCAGGGGTAATAGATTTAGCAGGGGGTCGGATGGCAGGCAGCATGCTTGCTTACTTTTCTTTTGGAGTGTATCTCTGTGAGAGAAATTTTACTTAGATGCCAGTGTGTGTTTGAGTGTATGTGTGGGGATGTAAACAGTGAAAATGCATTTGTCTGCCTCCCCGCGACTGTGTAAATCAGGGGATATAGTGACAGTCGTAACAATCTGTTATGTGGAAATCACTTTCCTCCTTCTTATTCTCACCGCTCCCAGTGAGACAGAGAGATGGATAGAAAGACATAAGAGAGAGAGAAAGAGAGACTTTAGAGGGTGGAGATGTCTCAATTTCCAAGAATCAAATGTTTTGTGTATGTGTGCACTGACGCACGGAGCTTCTGGATGGTTTAAAGATTTTTCCTCTTTCACTCGACTATTTATATCCTCTCTTTTTCCCCCCCTCTGCTCTCACTTTCTTTACACTCTCTCACATACCATAATGCACTCTAAGCTCCCTCCATTTCATTTTGGCTCCTCCGACTCCCTACCTTTCTGCTTCTCTATTCCGTCTTCCCTGGGATATTTTGATAGAAGCATCTGTTCAAGTGTGAAAAAACCCCTCTTCCCCCATAGACTGTCGGAGGTTTGGAGAAAAAAAAGGAAAAAAACTTTGTTAAGGGAGCGTGCTGGGAAAATAGCAGTCTGCCAGCTGCTGTGGGTATTCTGGACTTGTACTGGTGGGTGTCCACTCTTAGAAACCGAACAGATACTGGCAGCTAGCACTCATCTGGGTGTGTGTGTGTGTGTTTTGGGGTGTTTGTTGTGTGTGTGTGTCTGCATGCAAGCACGCTCTAGGTGGGTGGAAGGCTGTCAGTAACAATGCCAAGATGCCAGGGACAGGGGATTATTGAAGCCCCTCTAGGCCCCTCTCTCCCACTACTATCAACGAAGGAGAGCTGTCTTTCTATCAGCCAGGCCTAACCAACACCATGCATTTATGTTACTTGTAAACAACGTTTCCAAGGCTGGTTTTCAGTTCAGAGGAGTGTATTTGGACGCCTGCTGAGAGGAGACAGAGATAAAAGCCGGGTGGTGAAGATAAGATAAAAACAAACAAAAATATATGGAATATAGGGTGGAGTTTTTATGCCGGATGGACGTAGCAAAGACAGTTTAAATTGCATTGTATTGGCATCCTAACAAAAACATCATTCAACTGTCATCCGTAGAAGCACATGCTAGAATCAAGTCTTTGTTTATGTCTTGTGTGTTACATCTCTCATCTGATACATGCCATGGATATGTCTGCGACTGTTTTAAAGATTTAGCAAAATCCTGCAGAGGAAAGTCAGCACACAGTACACTGAAGAGATGCCATACTGCAGTATCACATTAGCCCTGTCTCCGAAGTTCATCCCGGGCTGCGTACATGGATCGGGCAGCCCTGGACACATGCCATAGCAGTTGATGGTTGGGAGATGCTGTCGGTTGATTTGATTATTGAGTGTCTCGTTGGGGTTGGGTCCGCATAGCAAAAACGACGGCTTCCCCCTCTCATGGTAATCATTTTGCAGCCGTCATGGCGCTGCTAATCAACCATCATAAGCTTCATCCCCGGCTACAGAGCTGTGTGTAAATGCTTACGAGTATGTGGAATGTTTCTCGTGTGTGTTATGGAGATGCCCCCTGGATCTTGTCTGGACTCCCTGGTCTAAACCAAAGTCCAATCCCTTCATGATCAACAGCCCTCTCGGTTACACTAATATGCTGATTATCCACGTCTGGGAAAACACAGACAGGACGACCAGCGTGCATGTAAATTGATGCGTGTGAAAAAGAAGAAATCTGACTTTTTTTTCCCCTCGGTTCTGTCTGGGAACACTAGCTCTCTGTGAGTCTTTGCACTGCAGTCCGTACCTGCTTAAACTCCTTCATTAACCTCTGAGGTATAATTTCAGAGTGTACTATACATCTGTCACAAACGAATGATCATTATCGGAGAGTTTGATAATATTCCAGCAGCGTGAGCGGCAATGGTATTAGTTTTGTTTTTAGCAGTGGATCCACAGTCGCAGCAGTGTGCTTTTGTGCCCCCTTCCACCTACTTGCCATCAGCAGGGCCCCGCTCTTAAGAACTACCTGCTTAGTTAATAAAACAATTAGTCTTGCCTTTGAAACGACAGCTGATTTGCCACTGAGGAGAACTGTATGCTCACTTTTATTCCCTCTCCATATTTTTTCTTTTGCTCTCATTCCAACACACATCTATTATTTTCTGGAAGCATGGTGAATGCCAGTATGTATTTCTAAGTCTTTATTGAAACCAAATGCTGATCCGAGTCATTTGTGTTGACTGTTTGGCTTCTATGTGTTTTTTTTTTTTTTTCATGGATGGTTGACGGGAGGAATAACATCTTTGCAGACAACATGCAAAAGCCAGTAATCTAAACATGCTTTTCAACTCAGGTATCTCTGGCAGTCACCAATTTATATTTCCCTTTTTCTGGTATTGTGGTGACAGGGGCTGCCAATACCAGTTTTTGGACATCGAAGCTTCAGTGATAAATACCCACAATGAATCGTAGCTTCAGCTGGGTGATGGTGGTAGTGGTTTGGGGGGGATGGTAGTCTGACTCACTGGGTGTAGACTGTGGCTATAAGCTTACCATTGGGCCACTGATTTTGGCCGACCAGCACCCTTCCATCCGCTATCTGCGTGTAACCATTTCCAAATCCCCTTCACAACTGCAGACAACAACAGTCTCAAAGTAAACAACTTCACGCTAAAAAAATGGCAAGATGTGGATCATGCGATAAGGCATACCATTTTTGTTTCGGTGAATTGTTGTAAAGATCTACAACGAATAAAAAAAGTAGTAAACGCACCTCAGAAAATCCCAGACACCGTCTCGCAGGATTGTCATGCCCCTGATGCTGATCCATTTTCTGACACATTGGAGTTGATTTGCCACATCTTTTAACTATGGCAGCTGCATGCCCCAGTGACACTGACTTCACGAGTGTTCTGATCCGTTCCACTTCGCACAAGCTTCTGTGATATTGTCATATTAATGTTCTGTTATACAGCCAGGAAACCATTTGTGGTTTTAACAGGTTCGATGAGTACCTCCAGAGCTTAAGTATAGTCAGGCTTCCCCTTAAGGGCACTGATTATCAAGCTATGTTTTTTTTTTGTCACTAAAAGTTGAATCACACAGTGACATACAGCTGTTAATGTTTTTTGGTGGTGCTTTCTTGGGTCCTTTTTAATGTGCAAATGTTCCAAAAAGACAAGTTCACCTCCCACTCTTTTTTGCAGGAGCACCATCTGCATCCTAGTGTCGTCCAAGATGGCTGTGATTGGTTTAAAAAAACAAGAACAACCCAGACTGTTTTTTTTTTCTCCTGTAGCAAAAGGATTATCAGTGATTCCAGACTTTTCTCTAGCGTTGACACAGAGCTGTAGAGATAGGTCTGGCTACGTAAGACTACGGAGGCTTAAATGAGTGACAAGTTGCTGTACCTTAAAAAACGTAACAATTAGCCACTTTTTAACATGCAGGTCGCAGTATTAGCCATGATAGCTTTAACTTTACAAGATAGCTAAGCTGTTACCTACAGTTTTCAGGTGAGCTTGTTGTAGATTTGTGACATACTAGTTTCCTTTTGCATATCTGACTCTCGACTTTGGTGGGTCATCTTCGCAAATTTCAAAACTATTCCAGATGCTTGACTTTTTCGACATGTTGCAAGTGTATCTGTAAGCAAGTTACATGTGGTCAAACTGTCCCAGTTTCAGTCGCACTGGATAGTGACTGAATTAGATGAGATCGAGTCAGAGCCACAAAACTTTAGTTAAAATGTCCCTGTGTGAGATTGAAAAATTCCCCTCTCACCCCCCAATATATATATTAGGGATGCACCGAATATTCGGTAACCAAATATATTCGGCCGAATATTGCAAAAAAACACACATTCGGTATTCGGTGGAATAAGTTAAAAGCAAGGCCGAATAATAGCGGCGTGTTTTGATAATGCAATCAAACAGCGTGCCGTGACCGGCTGAGTAAAATGTCGGCAGTGTGGCGATCCCTCCGTCACCACACTCGCATTTGCGAATAAAAATAGTTTTGAGCGAGCAAAATAGGCTTAAATCATTCAGCACACTGTGCGAGTAGCCTACAGATTTCAACCAGCAGCAGAAACGAAAGGCGAATGCCACCGATTGTGGGTTGAACGGGGGTCACAGACACAGACAGTAATGCATTCCTGTCAAATACGGCGGCCATCGGCTTACCGGGCGACGGAGAAGTCGGCTCCAATAATATCCTCTTCTTGGCGTCATGACTGCCCAGAAGTACCTGAACAACTGAGCCAGCTGAACACAGACCGTACGTGATGTGTCAGAGGAGAAACGAGCCGTTCACGGCCCACAAACCTCACCGCACTTTAGGGACTGTTCTTTACTTATGAAGGGGAGGAGGGTGGCTGGTTGATTCTTATTTTATTTATTTATTTTATTTTGATCCCCCCTATGTTAATCACTCGTTGATGCTGTTTTTGAAGTATGAATAAGTCAATAAGTAATTTATTCCATTGAAATATCATTGATGTAGCCTATAATAGAAAAGTGATTTATCTTTTTATGAATGACAAAAGGCACATCTGCCTCATTTTCGTTGTGGTATCGTGATACTACTCAGAACCATGATACTTTCACTGGTATCGTACAGTGGGATCCAATTTTGGTACCGTGACAACACTAATTTGGAGGGGGTTCATCTGCAAAAACTAATGAAAAACTAAACAACGATATTCAGTACTCGGTATTCAGCCAAGCGTTCAATATTATTCGGCTTCGGCTTCGGCCACAAATTTTCATTTTGGTGCATCCCTAATATATATACATATATATCGTTTTGGCGATGATTACCATGGCAATGATCGAAGCATTTATGTCAGCCCTAATTTTGATTTTGATAACAATACTTTTGTAAGTGCACAGCTCTTTTCCTCCTCAGTCCGTTCATCTACACAGTACTATGTCTGTGTATAAGGATGCACATCAGCACCCACATGCAAACCCGAAACACTCAGACTCCAAACAAACACGTCTAAATTTCATCCGTACCATAATTAATTAAAAATGTAATCATTGCACCCCCCCGTCCTTCTCCGTACTCCCCCCTTGGAAATTGAAATAGGTTTAATAGATGGATGCTCACTTGCTCATTAGCACTGACCCCTTCTGTAATTATCAGAGCCATTTGTGAAATTCATAATGGACTTGTAGCAACTGTGAACCAGGGCCTAAATAAAGGCGAGACTGCGTGGTCCAGTTCCCCACAGCAGGGCTCTCCCTTGGGGGCTCTCAGCGTGTTCACACAATAGCAGTGTTTATGTTTATTTTTTTCTTGTTAATGATGTATGTGGGCATTTTGCGTTACTATAGAAAGACGGGAGATAAAAAAGTGTTAGTCAAAACACTGACAAACTTGCAAAGAGAGGCAGCAGTATAATTAGAAAACTAATGTGTTTATTTCCAACTCATAGTTTTGTGTTTCTTGTGTTGATGCAGACAAATTTGTTCCCTATTTAAATTTTTTTTCCACGTTGGCTCGTCTTGACTTTAACTCTAAACCACATATTGTATTACGTTTATATTGACTGGAATTATATTTCCTTAACTGGCTCCCAACTCCCTCCTCGCCTGTCTACTTGTTTAAAATGGCACACTAAAATATAAAACTTCATATTTAATCATTTTCTTTCTGTTGGTGTAAAGTTGGCTCTCTCTATACCAGCTGCCAGCTCAGACTGGGAACACACACTGAGCTTTTTAAATTGTTTTATTTTCTTGCTGTCACACTCGATGAGTTTATGACATTACATATGGAATAACAGACTACTGGATAAAAGGCCTCTTGAATTGCGCGTGGCACAGATTGATAGGCTGTCTAAGTGTGCTGGTTTGCCACTGTGTGGCAGTAATTACAATGGAGTTTGTAGTTTAATGCAGTGTTAAAATAGCTTGTTTTTTAATTTAATATTTTATTGTAAGAGTGCAACTTAGGTTAAGTCTTTTAATTATGTATTATATGACTAAATGAATATCAAAGACTGTGTCTCACATTTGTAACTGATTAAAGATTCATACAGGGAACTTGAAACATGAATAGAGCAAATCAACTCAATTGACAGCATTTAGCAGTCTCTCACAGTCCTGCCTATGCTCTTACCTTCTTTCTTTCTTTTTCCTTTCTTCTCTCTCCTCTTCAAGGTTGATCTCCTTTCAGGAGTTTGTAGCATTCGAGTCAGTGCTGTGTGCCCCGGACTCCCTCTTCATGGTTGCCTTCCAGCTGTTTGATAAAGCAGGCAGTGGAATGACCACTTTTGGTAAGCAGCTCTGACTCTGATTCATGGGGTTAGACAGAAAAATGCTACAGTGAAAGCGTTGTACTGAACTATTACCATTTGTATGGCAGGTGCTGTTATGTGCTTAGCAAGAAAGGCTCACACACTTTGAAAAGTACAAACTTCAGAAACTTATGATCACTAATGTTATGAAGAGATTTCTTGCCCATTTTCAAATATTGGTATAAATGTATTTATCACATCTTGTCGTCCACTCTTCTGGGAATGTTGTTTCTTCATATATTCTGTAGGCGTTTTACTTCTTCTCTTCAAAAACTGAGATAATTCTGTTGTCCTCTTTGTTGGTAATCAGGGAAACCAAGTCACAAACACAGTCGCTTTATTGAAGATATTTAAAAATTTATAACTTAATGTTATCATGTAACTTAATATAAAAGTTCAAGTCTTATCACTGCTTTGTTTCTTTGCAGTTGACATTTGAGCACTGAGCACGTTTCCCTAAAGAAGTTTTCATACAAACTCCTTGTTTATTTATGTAAGGGTCTGACCTCCGCTCATCTATTTTCTTAAAAACCAAACTACTGTATGTGGTACTGTATCTTGCCTGTAAAGAAGATAAGGTTAGGTTTGGAGGTGGAGAGGGCTGGTAGCAACTAAAGGATGGAGATGAAGATGGAGGAGGGGGTGGGTAGCGCTGTGTGTGTGTGTGTGTGTGTGTGTGTGTGTGTGTGTATGCACACATGATTGGCACCATTACCCTGATGCCTGGAATCTCTGAGGTGAAAAGGGAAGACATTTGTACTCGTTGCTTATTTCACATTTGCCTAATTGATTTAAACAAGTCTAATGCCAGCCTTCTGTAGGTGTGCGAGGCGTTAGCACATTAGGCTTGATTTGAAATGCAGCGCACACGTCCCGCTCGCAAACAGGGAAGAGTAAGTGAATTTCATTTTAATTGTTGCTGTCGACAGGGTGCAAGATCATTGCGGGTGATTATATATGCACATATGTAAATTTTCATATTTAAAAGGATCAATTAGAGTGACGTTGTCTTGGTGGCAATTAAAAGGTCTGCTGTTTTTCTGCGTCTCCCAAAGGTTAATGAATATCCCAATGCCTGTGAGTTATGAGACTCACATACAAGTGGAAAATTGCATGAAAAACATACCACACATCATGCCATGCACAAACACTGACTACAGTGTCTGCCACTTGCATCGGGCTACCATTTCACCAAAAGCAAATAACTTGTGACTGAGATTATAGACTTGTCAAAGTTGCTTTATTGTGATGCATTACAGAATTCTGCCTTTTTCGCCACTGCTCCCTTTTCCCTCGTTGCCGTTCATCAGATTAAAGAGCCTCACCAAGGTACAAAATAAAGAGCTGCCTTCTTTATTACCAATTAAAAACATTAATAGCTGAAACTTACGTCGCATTAAAGGCGCGTTTGTTTTCCCATGCAGTAAATGTCTATGCTCTGATTTCTTTTTCTTTCATTTTTCTATAAAGCCATTTTTATTTGATAATAACCTGAGTAATTTCTGTTAAGTACAGGCGGCTCAGTGCTCTGAATTCTTAGCGCTTAAAAAAATAAATGCGTAATTTGGTGGAATGTCGAGTTCATAAAAATTGCAATGTAACATGGCATATGAAATGCAGTTGTGCCTCAGCCAGTGAGACAAAAAAAAGAAAAAGCTAAAGAGGACTGAGTGTTGACAGGTCTATAAAAGCTGATAATATAAACGACAGGCTCTGGAGCGGCCTCTCCTTTAAAGAGTTAAAGGCTGTATATTTATTGCCTCATTAAAGTGTTAAAAAAAACAATGCACAAGCTGTCTTCCTTCAGAAGGTAAGGCTGAGCAGAAGTAAATATCACCTTTCTCTTTCTCTCTTTTCCCCTCCCTGTCTGTCTTTATAAAAAAAATAGTTTCTTTCCTTTCTCCACTCATTCAGCACAGCTTGTTTGGTAATAAGAAACAGGTCGCTCTATTGGTTTGTTTTTGTTTCTTTAGTAAGGCTGTAATTTAGGACTCATGTTCAGTGTCTCTCCACTCCGCTGGCTGCAGAGAGGCTTAGAGGGTTCAGGCAGAGGAACATAAGTGAGAAGAAAAGGCTTTCCCTCTGAATACAGAGCCTACACAGCTCAAACAAGTTCTGCCATGTGTCATTCAAGACTGATTTAGAGTTGAGGAGCTTAAGTCTCAATCAGAGCAGAATTGTGTGCTGCAGATTGACGTTGACATTTTGTCACAAACAGTCATAGACTTTTTTCTTTTTCAACCAAAATCAAATAATTACTAATGTTAACCGCAAGATAGGAAACACATGTTGTTTGTTAAGGCCTGACGCACAAGACTTTGTATCGACAGACTTTATTAGAGCAAACTAAAAGAGGAAGAAGTATTTGATAATTGTTTGTTATAAAAACATGAACATTCAGAGAGGATTTTAATAGAGGTGATTGCCTTATACACGGTTAATGTATGCGCATTAGCCTGAAAAGTGTGCAGCCTGTTAAACCTAAACAGATCTGTTATTCCATCATTGTAAAGGAACACTGTTTTGCTTAAGCCTCATTGCTCACTGATATTTGTTTAAATTGTCTATATTGTGCATATATCAACACAGGAAGTCCGTGATGGATTAAACTAAGTACATTTACTCAAGCACTGTACTTGAGTATAATTTTGAGGTACTTGTTCATGAGTGCTTTCATTTTATGTTACTGATATCTGTTATATGGTTGAAGTTAGCTTCAGCTTGACTACCTACTTACACATTAATGCATAAGTAAGAATATCTAACAATCACATGGGATGTTTTTCTAAATATGCTATAAAAATATCCCCGTAAGCAATTAACTCGCAATCTCTGCTTTAAGCAGTCAAAGTCAGGGTCAAGCAAGGATAATAAATCAGACACCCCCAAAAAAGGGGGCTCTGGGCTAACAAACTGTATCTCACACTGAACATTCACTGTTACATTCATTGTTTACTGCTAACCTGATGTCCAGCTCACCTGCCGGTCCTAAGTGCGGACACACCGTCTCTCTCTCTCTCAGGCTGCAATACACTCAGCTGTTTTCTGACAATGTTTACATTTAGCTTTATTTTGTCCTGTATTGTGCCTACATGACCAACATGGCATCTTTATGTACACCAGCTCATTCTCAGTCGTTTTGTTTCTGCGTCTTGAAATGCAGGGTTGAGTAGGGGAGACCGGGGGCAATTATAGCAATTTTTGATTTGACATTTCTACTCTAAAACCTCTTCAACTATTAAGATTTTTTTTGTGTGTGCGTGTAGATAACTTGTGTCTGTGTTCTTTTTGTTAACAGCCATCAGTTGTTTTTACAAGCAGTGATAAGAGTCACAATGTTGATTGAAACACTAGATGTCAAATGTTACATCTGTCCCCATGTGCAGGAGCAATTGTAACAGCATATGGGGTATGGGAAGCATTTCATTAAATGTAATTGACATCTACAACTGTAACCGAATATGTATCTAAAGCCTTGCTCATGTCAGCGATTGTGCAAAATAAAACTTACGCACTTCAGCACTGCTCCTGGAAGAAATCAAAGGGGAAACACTATGTTTCCTGGAGAAATATAGTGTTTCCCCCAAAAAATTTGATATTAGTAAGTCAACTTAGAAATAGTAAAATCAAACAATTTTAGCCTCTTTTTAGGTGTCAGCAGTGAAAACGAGTCATCCTTAACATTGCTGAAGAACAATTTGGTACAAAACAGGATGTAGGCTCTACAGGATGATTTTTTTTATAAGGAAGCCCAAATGATGCATAGGTTTTTAAGCCTTCTATGATCTCAGATGGCTTAAAAAATAGTGCTTATAGCTGCGGTAACTATGGAGCATGCCCCTGCCCCCCCCACCTCCCACCTAGGTGTGAGCTGAGCCCCAATTATATACAATCTCTAGCTCCAGCCCTGCTATTACTTTGTATGTAGGACTTTTACTTGTAATGAAGTATTTCTACAGTTATGTCTTTACTTTGACTTAAGATAAAATAACAATACCACTACCTCTAATTCTGGCACACTGCCGAATGGAGTTGTTGCATCTTGTTATTATGCTGTCAAATGCAACATTTCACCACTCAGTCGTTATTAAAGCAGCATCTTGTCTCTTTTTATCTCCACAGAGGATGTGAAGCAGGTCTTCAGCCAGACCACCAATCACCAGCACATCCCCTTTAACTGGGACTGTGACTTCATACGGCTGCACTTTGGCGCAGAGAGGGACAAGAAGCTCAGCTACGGAGAGTTCACCCAGTTCCTCCTGGTAGGTTTCACGGTGATCACCGGCTCTCATCGTCTTTCGCATGCCATTTTTTCCCCACTCTGCTGATGTGAAAACACCGTCATTGTGTCTTTGTTTTGCCTCTTTGTCTCTCTGTGTCTCTGTCTTTTTGTCTTTTTAACTAACTCTGTCTTCTTTCTATTATCCAGTGGCCATCAGTGATAGTCAATAAATCTGTATCAACTGATTTATGCGTCTGTACACATTGTCTTATCATCACATATAGTTTACAGGCTGTTAATACAATCCTGTCATCTCACTGTATTGTTAGATACTTATCTAAGCTTAGCCAGGCGAATTCGGGCGCGTGCAGACACACACAGATTTTCCCGATCCCTCTCAAACACAGCCCTACATATTGACCAGATTAGTCATTAATGAAACACTGAGGTTATATATTTGGGATATTTTTGGCATTTGTTTCCCATTAGCTGACGTACACCTAGCATTACTCAACTCCACCTACTCTGCAGCAGGTAGAGACGCTGTTCTACCTCCATAAATAGTATAGCTGGAATATTCCTAGTGTATTTCTGGTGTGTGAGCCATTTTCCAATATGATGTCTAGACTTAAATCAGGCCTAAGCAGGGGGAGGTGGTGGTGGGGGGTAGGAGAGCGGGCCTGAGCTGTGCCAAGTTTGCATCCACACTCACCATGTATCTGAATGAGCTTTTTATATTACACTTAACGTAGACCAGATGGCTTACACACAGTGGGCAGCAGCCCATGGATATTGGGACATTGTTATACGTGCGTGCGTCCTTGTGCGTGCGCTTGTAAACTTACAAGATGTGTGTCTGTACATACTGTCTGTGCGGTTCTGGATATGTGTCTGTGTTTATCTAACTTATCTGCTTTACCGTATGCACAAGCAGTGGCATGCAATCTTTGTGCATCTGTGTTTATGTCGGTGTTTGTGTATTTGTGTGTTCTTGTTTTTGCTTGTGTGTGTGTGTGTGTGCATGTGTACAAGTCTGTGGCGCTGTGGCCAGGAGACGCTGTACTTTGCATTGACAGTGTGCCCAGTCCTCTCCCAGTCAGTCACTCAGTGGTTTCCAGCTCCTCACAGCAGCATGCCGCCAGCAGCTGAGTCGCACTTATTGCTCAATATGAAATGCACATTTCCTGCTTATGCTCTCTGTATTTGATCAGTTCTTGTAGCTTTTGATTCATGCCTTAATACATGGCAGAGGAAAGAGAATGTCACGTTACTGCAGAGATATTCATCAGAGAATTTAAAGTGTTGTAAATATCGTCCTGCTTGTCATCTTTTATCACTTGTTTCATGAGTATATTTTATAATTATATGACAAATATTTTACCTTAAGGGATCTTATGCTGTCTTGGGTTCAGTTAAACTGTGTCACATTAATAAGGCACATTCATATAATTGTGATAGTGTATTACTTACTGCAATTACAGTACTTAGGTACAAGTTAAATTCAGATATTGACAGTTCATTCTTTACAGTGTGTTATCAGAGACTCCAGTGATTGACGACATGGCAATTAGGAAAGGTACAACAACATTTCCTGAACTAGAATTTAAACCTGTGCAATTACTACATACTTTGTGATTGCACCCCAACGCTGTTATGATACTTTTGTTAACAGGCAAAGCCTTCGTAAATGTCAGCCAGAAAAAAAAGTACACTGAGCAGCTATAAAAGTTGTCAGAGAGTTGTGAAAACCAACACACTCCCAAACACACACACACACACCATTTTCTGAATATTTGTCAGTTATTTTTATAATTCCCTAACACCCACCCCCCCAAGAATGTTCCTATCCTTTATTTCCTCCCCTTCCTGCCATATATGCATGTGTTTATTGTGTTTTTCTGCCATTGTAACCACGCCACTGCCAGATGCTCACAAGATGGGATTATCGGGGAAAACGTTTGCGCCGCATATTTCTCACAAGGGCTCTCTCTGGCCAATTACTGGCTTGATGGAAGCCAGAGATTCTCACCAATTACATGCATTTTTCCCGTCTCACGCGTGGACGCCGGCCAAGGCTCAGCTCGCACTGTCAGAGTGGTGTTGTCTCTGGCAATGGTATTACCGATGTCCAGAGAAGTGGCACATAGTAGCCCATATTATAAATCCTGGCAAGTAAAGGGCTTGAATTACATGGAGGGGACACCACATGTCCCACTTCTTTTCCCAAGCACTTAAAAAAAGTGAATTGTTGGCATTGCTTAGATTTTAAAAGTCCCAATTATATGTTTGACTCTCCCAAGAATCAGTGGGCAGCCCTTAACATCACTGTGTAGAGGGCTCACTGGCACATGTAAATGAGCAGTTGTGCTTAAGCTTCCCCTTGTATAGCTTTAGCCCTGTGCTGACAAGAAGCAGGGATTGGAAAAGAGAGATACAATCCTGCTCCACTCATATCTATTGTTTAAGTTTTGATGAGAGGGGGGAAGAGAATCACAGCCATTGAAAACAAACAGAGGTGGCTTGTCATGTGTTTTTATTCTCGTCCAAGGACAATTAAAGCGACTGCAAATGCCTTGGCGGTCTCCTTTTGGCTGTCTTAAGCCCCGAGCCTTACGTCTCCTGCCTCCCTTGCTCCTCTCCCAAATAAAAAACATGTCCCTGAAACACTCATACAGTTGCTGCAAGGTTTTAAGAGGCTGAGACTATAAACTGCTCCGTCCCCTGGACCACAGTTGTTTTGTTGCTCTCTGTGGTTGGTGTGTGGCTTTTCAGACTTTCGACTTGTCCAGAGAAACAGGATCTAATTTTTTTCGTCATTTACAGATGGACACAAACACAAAGATAAACGCTTATTTTTGCACATGCACACAGTCACACATGCAAAACATTATCTTCCTCACTTTCCTTTTTTGTTTTGACTTTAAATATTCAGCTCTTCTCCTCCCTCTCCTCTTCCCGATTTATTCCACACCAAAGTGTTTTGACCTACTCACAACCGACCGGAGAAGTGAGTCACGACACTCAGGATGCTGACACCAAAATATCTCACCTTATTTACCTTGGGAGTGTTTACATGTGTCAATCTCTCTTCGTTTCCTCGCCTTCCACTCACTTATACACTCTCCGGAGCCCCTGCTGTGCTCATAGGTGATACTGACACACGGCTGCTACATTTGCTGTTTTTGCAAATCTGGCTCTTTTGTTGCAATGTCTATTCTTACTCCCCTCCGGTCTCCACTCAGCTTTGTGTAAATGTCACTCTTCCCCAGTCAGTTTCTCTTGGGTGCCGCAAATTTAGAGTTCGATCAGTTATGCTGTCAGTGAAATATCACTCAAATTCAACACAACAATAAGTCATAGCCTCATAGGGTTTTGTGTTGTGGTAATACCACTTTTTTGAGTTCCATTTCTAACAATAACATCTGAATCAATCAATTGAATAATGCCATGCATGCTCAAAATTTAATCAGTCCCCCTTCAGCACTTTTTGTCCAACAAGTAAGGCTTGAAAAAGAAGGTCCATTCTTCTTGAACAAATTGATAATCGTTTATTTTGAACAAAATTATTAACTTACTTATTGTACTAAAACTACTAGCCGGTACTTACTTGAAATGTCATTTAGAAACATTTTCCCTGACATGACTGACATATTTTCATTCTTTCGGCGTGTTCCTATTGGATAGTCTTTTTTTGTTTATTTTATTATAACACATTTATGAAATTATGTGTGCAATAGAATAACTTAATATTTAAGTCGAATGGTGCCTTTTTAAATAGAGAAATATGCAATAGTCTTGTTCTACATGCATGTAGAGCTACAACTAAGGATTGTATTAATTATTTTCAATTAGTTGATTAACTGCTCGGTCTATAAGATGCCAGAGAATAGTGAAAAATAGCAACTGCGATTTCTCGTCATGCAAGCTGACACATTGAAATTGCTTGTTTTATGCAGGATATTCAGTGCACTGTCACAAAACCAAACAAAAAACTTCAAATTTTTACTTTTCAAAAGCTGGAAACAGTGGATTTAGTCATTTTTTGTTAAGATCAATCAGTTATTAAAATTGTTGCACATTCATTTCCTGTTGATCCAGTGATTAGCTCTACCTATATGAGGGAAATTGCAAGAGAAAGGGTCTTAAAAACTCTTGTATGGATGTTTCAGTTGTGTAAACATATTAATATGTACTTACAAGTAAGTAAACTTGAATTGGTAATTTAGTTTTTTTGTATTGTGTCACCATATGTCAGAAACCTTTATGACTAAGAGTAGAAGAATTTCTTGCCTCATTTATTTTTTGACCTAAAGGCTGTGATACATTGCAAGTGAGTCAACAGCCAAAGCAACTCATTTAAGCTGCCGTCCTCAAGCTTATGGCTGTGTTAGTTGATTATTATTGTTCTGATATCCCTGTCTTTTGCTGCAACCGATTTTTTTGTCATAAGATAGAGGAAGCCTCTGTGGCAGCGGTTTGTTTACAGCTTCTCTCTGTAGACTTGTGGTTGCAGGTACCGATAATGGCTGCTAATTTCAAAGGCCTTGTGGGATGTGTCCCCACCACAGCCTGCTGTTGTCCCTGTGGACCTTTGTGCGTACATGTGTGCAAGAAGAGAGACAAAGTGAGCAGTTGGGTGATTAGCTGTCTTGCCTGTGTGTGCACGTCTGTGTGTGTGTGTTTGTATGTTTCTCCTTCAAGTGGCTTTAATGGGGATTTGGGGAGGGTGTGAAAAGCCCAAGCGACACCTCACAGTAGGTAAGCCGCTGTTGGGAGAGGGGGCGAGTGTGAAGCCTGGCCAAACGCTGGCTCCCCAGAAACTGAGATGGGGAGACGGCACCAGGGGGCCCATCAAAGCAAATGCTGTGTTTTTATGCATAGATGTTTATATGAGTGAGTTTATGTGGATTTTAATTTATGAAGGCAACTTAAAGAGGTGTATGACCCACATATGTGTCCAATAATCTGCATTTACTGTATGAGCTAACACCCAAACTTCCCTCATTCCCTCCCTTCCACAGGAGATGCAGCTGGAACACGCGCGGCAGGCTTTCATCCAGCGTGACCAAGCCCACAGCGGCTCTATCTCAGCCCTGGACTTCAGGGACATCATGGTCACCATCCGGCCACACATGCTCACATCCTTTGTGGAGGAATGCCTCGTGGCGGTGGGTTTTTTGTTTGGCCTTGCTGTTCTCCCGTCCATTTGTTTTACAGTTGTCCACAGGAGCCAAAGTCACACTGGTTAAAAATAGTGAGATCGGTCACTGCTGTACGCCTAGGAGTTGTAATTATTTGTTCATTATATGTTAAGAAAATATCGTCAAACTGGGTGTTCTTTATTTAGAAGTGGATGTGCATCTATTCTATTCGTCATGTGTTAGCGATGTTGTGGCGTAGTAATGTCTCTATGTATTTAACAAAACCATTGTATGACCAAATGTGAGATGATGGACATGGAATTTGAGAAACAAACACAATGTTAAGGAGTGCGTTTATAAACAATGTTTGCCACTGGTTCAGTTTCTGATGCCAGCTAGGACAAAAAGCAACCTGACATTACTCTATTCTCCATAAAAGGGTTAAAGGCGAGGCTATTTTCTTCCATCTCACCACCTCTTTCTCGTCTTCTCTCTTCCCCTGTGTTCGTTTCTTTCTCTCACACCCCCACAACCAAACGCCGTGGCTTTCTCTTTCCCTCCAGCTGTCCATCTCTCATTTCTTCTTCTTCCTTCTTTACCTTTTCTGTCACCTCTCATCAGTCCTCTCTCTTCTTTTTCCCTCCCTACATTTTTTTTCTCTCCCTCTCTCTCTCAAACCACCCCTCTTTCTCTCCCTCCCTCCCCCGTGTCTCTGTCTCTCTCCCAACATGTCATTAAGTCTAACCTCTCTGGCAGTGTCAAAGCCAAACAGGCCAGCTGAATGGGAAGATAGAGACAGAGATAGATGGAGACTGGAGCTTTACAGTCCATCATCTTTGCCTGTGTGTTTGCGCGTGAGCAGCTGTGCACGTGTGTGTGTTTGTGCGTGTGTGTGTGTGTGTGTGTGTGTGTGTGCACTCTTATTTGTTTTGAACTCTGAGATGTTTGTCTTTTTTTGTGTCTTGCCTTTTCTTTATGTGTGTTAGTGTTTTTGTTGCGTGCGCGTGTCTATGCCTTGCCCCATTTCATAAACACCTTGCATACTCTGTCATTTTCTTTGCTGTGTTTACCTCACCGACCAGACATCTTAGTGTGCTGTTAGTAAACTCTCTTACACACACACACACACACACACATACACACACACACACACACGCACACGTACATATATCAAAAACCCTATAAACACTGCCGGTACATTAAAGGCGGCATTATGGCAGAACACAAACAGTGAAACGGCAACCTTTAATTCACTCACCAAACATGGTAAATGATCAGCGCCACGCTCTTTTCACCCAAATATTGTTCTCCTCTCCCCCTCTGTGAAAGACTCTGTGTTGGATATCGTGGGAAGATCCATGCCTATAGGCTCATAGATATGAACAGATACAAAAGTGTCTCTCTGTTAGGGCAGTTTCACCCAAGCCAGAGCTTCCCCCCTTGTTGCAAACACAGTGAACCGCAAGCAACCTTTCTGAAAGCGTCTGTAAAGCAAACAGTGCCATCTAGTGAAAGGAAGCTCCAAATTTTCTATTGCCTCAACCCCTCAATGCTGTTATGAGCTGCAAAGCCTCAAAGCTCATCTGATACTCTGGCCTAAGCTACCCAAAACAGGCAACAACATTTATGAGATGTACTCGAACACACATTTCTAAACAGACAGCAATGAGTGCTGCTCCTCTTAGTGTTTGAGAGGCTGATTTGATAAAGATGGGATGCTGACTCACATAAAAGAGTTTGTGTGCAGTCTGCAATGTCCTCAAGAGCCCGGGGTCTATTTTAAATCCACTACCTTTTTTTTTTCTGTTCTTTTATCACTTCCTCCACCTCATAAAGAAAGTTAATTAAACTCCCTGAGAGTGTACGTTGTGTGATGGAAAAAGTAGCGGTTGAAATGGGTTTACTTCTTCCTGTGGAGCGACGGTAAAGAGGAACGCTGATGATTAACCACTAGTGTTTGTCAAGATTTCCTCTTGATGTTAAGAGTTTGTTCTGTCTTACACATGATCATAACATCTAGATGCATTTGCTGTTTGGTGTGTAGTGTGATTGTGTTTGTGGGTTGTTGAAAGCTTTTTAGTGCATGTTAAAAATACGTGCCTCCATCCATGTCCAGGTTGCGGGTGGCACCACTTCTCACCAGGTCAGCTTCTCGTACTTCAACGGCTTCAACTCGCTTCTCAACAACATGGAGCTGATAAGAAAGATCTACAGCACCCTGGCTGGCCATCGCCGAGATGTGGAAGTCACTAAAGGTACACGGGAAGGAATAAAAGACAGCACAAAACCTCAATCTTATATTAACACAGGCAGCCAAAATCAGATGCACACTTATAAGTACACAGTTTACGCACTCACACATAGTGATGCTGCAAAAAACAGACAGCATACACTCACAAAACATGAGCATGTATTGTATGTGCTTAGATGCACAAACTGATACAGTCCTGCACTACAGGCAGCATTAAATGTGTTTTTGCCAGATAATGTATTTACGTCTGTGTGTGCTGAGGGTGGAAACTTGTTTTTGTTTGGTTTTCTTCCTTCCCGGTGGCATTTAAATGGGCATGCTGGATCTGACCCAGCACACGTACTGCATGCCCACAGTCCCTGATGGAGCCTGTCTTGTCTATTAGACATCCTGGCACTGATCTGAGGACCACTTTTTTTGTCCTGGGATGCTTTTGGTTGATAATGAGATTTTAAATTCTTAACAAAAAAAAAAAACAGACAAAAATGAGGAACGCTATATCAGAATCATGTACTTACTTTTGAGGATGAGGTGTTGTGTCACCCTGTGGATCAATGTGCACGTTACATAGTTAAAACCATTTTATAAGCTTTTCCTTAACCCTATAATTTAAATCACTGTAAAGCAAAGATGTAAAGCTACAAGGTGATGAAAATGAGGTATCATTATCTATCGATCCTACAGCCTTTGTCTTCTTTTAGACATTTTCTCTCTGTTTCCCATGGTTAGTTTCTTTAAATCCTTATCTCTCTCACTTGCCTGCCCCACTTGCTGTCTCTCATTCCTTTCCTCAGTACTTGGCAGGAAGCCCAGTTAGCTTTCTCTGTCTCTCTACCTTTCTCTGTCTCTTTTCTTCCTGACTCCATGTCTCCCACTCTGGTCGGTCGTCTTTAAGAAACCATTTTGACCTCTCTGCACATGGCCCAGGGCCACTCGTGTAGCCTTGTGATGCTATCTGAAGCCTTATCAGGGGTGTGGACCATAGCCGACCCAGACCAAGAGCCCATACGCTCCCCAGGCTGTTCCCACCATGGGTACACCGAGGCTGGGCTTGGCTCGACCCGCGGTGGCCCGTAGCCAGCCAGACCTCCACAGCCACCACCCATCCACCCTCCACTCCCTGAGTCATTAAGGCCTCCTCTGGGACTGCAAGTGCTCGGCTCCATGTACCACTGGCTGGCCGACAAACACATACTGCACACACACACACCCGCATGTATCAAGTGTGTGCGTATTTTGTAGCACACCGCTTCAAACATTTCTCACATACACACAAGCATTCAGAAACATTAACACAGCCAAGCATGCACACATGCGTAATAATCCTGATTGATTCCGTATGTGCAACAAGGCCACTGTTTTGCCTTGGGGACGCCATTACAGTGCTTAACGCCTACACAACAGTGAGTGTGCACATGTGTGTGAGTGCTTGTGTGCGTGCGTGCACAGGAGACCTTTACAGAACACACCTTTTATTGAGCCAGCAGTGTGCACCACAAGGCAAATCATGACTGTGCAGCTTTCTGAGCAGGTTAAAATCAGGTGTGTTGATGAAGTACATGTTTTAACACGAGACTGTAAATGCATCTTTACTAGATAGTCCCAGAAGTGATGATAGTCTCACAAATCATAGTTCTGATCAGGTTTGCCTGTTGGGTTTCTTGACCATGTCACAATTTCAGCTTGTTTTTACACCAGTTATTTTTAGCCGTGCCAGCAGTAAGGCTCTAGAGAAGGCAGTGTCGGTCAGTCGGTTCACTGCTTTAGATCACACTGAAATTGACATGAAATGTTCTGCTGACATTCAGTGTCTAATGAGGATGAAGCCTGCATTAAGTGATCCCCCAACTTTTTGTGTAGTGCAACCATGAATTTGACATCTGTGGTTTTGAGTCAAATGTCTCAACAACTATTCGATAGATTGCTCTGAAATCTAGTGATACCTTCCCTCAGGATGAATTTTAACAACTCTGGTCATCTAGTGCCGTTATAAGATCAGAATTGAATTTTGTCCAGTTCTTTTGTTTGTCACCGAATGCCTGCAACAATTTTTCGATCGTGTGTCATTCATTCTGTCATAATCAATAGGGAATCCAAAATCTAACAAACTAAAACAATTTATGTATGAATCCAGCACAAAAAAACTAATATTGGTTTGTTTTTGGTGTCATTTTTATTCTCAAGTCAGCAGGTCACTGTTTTTTGTGATAATGTGTCCAATATTTGTTACCAGGACGCTGCTCACTTTTTTTTTTTTTTAAAGATTATTTTTATTGGCTTTTTGCCTTTATTGACAGGACAGAGGGTGAAATGGGGAGACAGAGAGAGAGTGGGGACTGACATGCAGCAAAGGGCCGCGAGCCGGATTTGAACCTGCGGCCGCTGCAGTGAGGCAGTGCCTCTGTACATGGGGCGCCGGCACTATCCACTATCCAGTTAGTAACTTCCTGGTAACACAAATCAGACACATTAAAGCTGCAGTAGGTAGAAAGCCTGAAAACAGTTGATTTTTGAGTGTCATCTGAGTTAGGTTTCGTTCTCTCCGCCCTGAGCCCCTCCTACCAGATGAGCACGCGAGTATTTTATCCTACTTGGTTCTGTTTCTCCCTCTCTGGGAGCCTCGGCTCTCCCTCACAGCGCAGCAGCCCTCCCCATCCCTCCCTCGCGGCCCCGCACATATTCCCGAGCCTCGCTCTCCCTCACCGCGCAGCAGCCCTCCCCATCCCTCCCTCGCAGCCCCGCACCTATACCCCGAGGCTCGGCTCTCCCTCACAGCGCAGCAGCCCTCCCCATCCCTCCCACGCGGCCCCGCACCTATACCCCGAGGCTCGGCTCTCCCTCTCCGCGCAGCAACCCTCCCATCCCTCCCTCGCGGACCCGCACATACTCCCAAGGCTCGGCTCTCCCTCTCCGCGGAGAGCCCTCAGCTCCGCTCCCATGGCCGACCCTCACGCCCTCCAGCTGGTCCCGGCCCCACCTCACCCTTCCCCTCCCTCTGGGGCTCCGGGGAACCGAGTTCTGTCTTCCTTTTTTTGGGTTGTTTAGCCGTGTAGGCAGTTGTAGCCAATGCTGGAATAGCTATTTTACCTGGTGCACTGTTCACCATTGCTGCTTGCTCTCCCCTTCTGCTGGCGGCACAGGAACGTGCATATGCAGTAGAACAGCCAATAGGAACGCAGTGGTCTGAGCTGACCTTTGATTGGTTGATGCACATCAGCACGATACTGATTCTTTAGAGGCTGAACACAGAGCCATGGTGAGGTGCAGAAACCTATTGTTTGTCTTAGACCACTTGATTTACATTATGCTTAGAGGATATTGTACAATTTTTTACTCAATTATACCAAAACATTGTTGCCTACTGGAGCTTTAAATGTGACATCAAATTTAAATTTGGTGCACGGCCTGTTTTTTATTTTATTTTTCTTATATTCAAATTGAGCATATAATTCAAGTACAAAAACAAATCTTTATTAGTTTTTTTTGCTAGTGCTAATTATATATATTTGTTAATACTATTGTTTAAATTTCTTATATTTTCACGTATCTTTCCTCTCTTGCAAGGAGCACCTGTAACATAAATAATTTCCCCTCGGGGATCAATAAAGTATTTCTGATTTTGATTCTGATTGATTGTGATTAGAGAATATTAGCATGCTAACATTCCAATTTAAGATGGAGAACATGATGAAAATTATATATATAATGTTAGCATTTAGCTCGACGCACCACAGTGCCTAAATACACCTCAGAGATCTGCCAGCATAACTGTAGACTCTTGTTAGTGTTTTTGAAAACTCTCTTGTATGTAAAAGTATTTTTGTCCCTGTTATGTTTTACTTGAATGTGTTTTTTTAAGCTATTTGTAATGCACTTTGTAATTGTTTTCAGAAGTGCTATATAATTGACAATTGATATTACAATACTCCATTAGGCACTCATTAACAACAACGTACCAATTGCCTCGACAGAGGATAGTAGAAAGAGTTTAATTTTAGCAACTCTATGATATCTTGCTTTTTAAGTCGAGTCAAGTCAAACTATAATTGTAGAGCACATTTATAAACAACGGCAGTTGACCAAAGTGCTCAGCAGGCTCAAAATACCAAAACAGATGAATACAGATGCAAACAACAATCAGACCAATAGTAAACAATAAACTTAATAGAGAACAAATTGCAGTACAACAGAGGATGAGGTACAACAGACGATGAAGCCAATTAAAGTATCAAGCTCAAAATCAATGGTATGCCAACAAGAAGAGGTGGGTCTTTAGCAGCAACTTAAAGGTTTCTGTTGTCAGAGCAGTTTCTGTTTGAATAGGTAAGCTGTTCCAGAGTTTGCGAGCAGGCACTGCAAAGGCTCGTTCACCGCAGTTTTTGTGTATTCTTCTTGGTGCATCCTGAAGCACCTCATCAGTCAAACTTAGTACTCTAACTGGAGTATGAGGATACAATAGTTCTGCTGAATAGGGTGGTGCCAGACCATTTAAAACCTTTAAAAAAAGGGATCAGATCTTAAAATCAATCCTAAAACGTACAGGAAGTCAGTGGAGCAAGGACCATTTTCTTTTTTCCACTTAAAAGACGAGGGACCACAGTTTGTACTAACTGCAGATGGCGAAGCTATGACTGATCTATACCCAAAAACAAGAATTACAACAGTCTAGCCAAGAAGTAGATCATTTAGGGGTAGATGAGCCTTTACTTAGCTAAAAGCCTAAACTGGGAAAAGCTAGTGTGCTGCAAAAATCACACCAAGTTTTTTAACAAAATGTGGACCGTGAGATGCTAAGCGCATAAGAATACCAACAGAGTCGTCCAATAGGTCGAGTCGTCCAAACATAGCAATCTCTGCCTTGTTTTCATTTAGATTTTATAAACAGTTAAGTAAAGGCTGTGCAGAATATGTACTATTTGTTTTTATAGGCAAATAGATCTGTACATCATCGGCAAGGCAATGAAAAGGAATATCATGTTTATTTAAATGCTCTGAAGTTGTTAAATGTCAGTAGGGAAATGTTGGCAGCAATATCCAAACTGATTTTTACATCACATTTATTTTTCCTCATCCTCAGTCAGTTTGAAAATCTGAAGTTTGTAGAAAGGACAGTGAGAAAAAGTATGTTCTGCTGCACAGATTTACACACAGCTGCATATATATACTATCAAGGAACTGTGTGTGTAGACAAGCAGTTGTGTGGGACTCTGCTTATCATTTTATTACACAATGGGCTCGACCACGGAGAGGCAGGTAATCATAAAATGTCTGTAGAGGTCAGTCAGGTGTGTGTGTGTGTGTGTGTGTGTGTGTGTGTGTGCGTGTGTGTGTGTGTGTGTACTGGTGACTACAGGCTACAGGTAGACAGGTTATCAGCATTGTGATCTGTGATCTCTCCAGACAGAATTCTGTCTATGTCTATGTGTGTGTGTGTGTGTGTGTGTGTGTGTGTGTGTGTGTGTGTGCGCGTGTGCGTGTGTGTGTGTGTCTTTCTTCTTGTGTAAGTATGCTCTCTCGCATGCTTGTGAGCATTACCTGCATGTACTCATGGATATGTGTGTGTGTGAGAGAGAAAGAGAGCATGCCTCAGGGGTAAGCTGAGCCTCGGCGGGGTGAATGGCTCCAGTGTAGGACGACTTTGTCACAACCCCAGCCTGCTGCTCTTTGAATAAAGCAGGTCAAACAATGCTGACTCCTCCACTGTAAGCCAGCCTACAGTCAACCTGTTCTTTTTTCCCACCAACAATAGACCAGGTCTTGAGTTACAGCGAACTGAAGCTTCCTCAGAAGAACTCTTGAAGTCCATATCTATCTACTATAAAACAGCTACTACCAATAGGCCCTTCATGTTAGGGCCAACTTTATTAATATAATTTTCACATTCTCTCTGCATTTAGATAAATGCCCATGATTGATTAAAAGTAGCCTGTCTTTTCTGAATTGTCAAAAGTTCCAGGAAATCAGAGACTGATACAGACGTATATGAAGCAGGTTATATGATAATGGAAACACCCACAAATGAAAAAATATTGAATTAAAGGTACAGCACACATAAAATAAAAATGTATAAATAGACAATGTAACTGTATTTTTTTTCCTTTTAGGCTTGCTGCACATCATAATAGCTGTAAATGTGTCAGATTATGTTGGTGCAAAGTCTGTGATACAGTATGATGAACAGTTAATGGAAATACAGTATGAATCAGATAAGAATAAAAGATGTCAGTCAGAAGAAACTGCTCTTGTTTGTGATAACAGATTGCAGCTTTAGGTGATTCATTCAGCTCAGCACCACATATTGTGACTTATTTACATGTTGGAATGGTGGTGCTTGATAAATCATGCTGTCATGAAAATGTATCATGACAGTTCAAGTTAAAGTACCCACTGCAGATTTGCTTTGCTGCTTTACACCAAAACCCTGACAAATCAACTAAAGTGGATAAATGACTTTTCAAGCTTTTTTGCCTTGGAAGAAATAAATAGAATGCTTTGAAGATATAGCAATCCCTTGAACTTAAACTAGAAAAATATGGAATAATAAAATCACTCTTTATTGGGTCTTGGGATTTAGGAGAAGCAATATATATTCTGTCCCGGTTGTGAAACAGTGGACCAGCTATTCACACTTGCATGGAAACTGCTGCCACAAAGTTGGTTGCCAGGACTGTTGGTCACAGTCATCCACTGCTTGTATATCTGCATTGAAAGCTGCGTCTGCATTCTGTGCAGTAGGTCAAACATATTCTCAGTGGGATTTAGGATCCACCAAGGCTGCTTCTTGTCCCCCATTCTGCTCATAATTTTCTTCGACAGACTCTCTAAGCACAGCCAAGGAGTTGAGAGAGTTCAGTTTGGTGACATCTCAATTGCATTGCTTCTTTGCTGATGATGTAGTCCTGTTGGCTCCATCGGGGCATGACCTAGCATGCACTGGGGCAGTTTGGAGCCAGCTGTGCAGCTGTTAGGATCATTTTTGGCACCTCCAAACTTTAGGCTTGGAAAAAGGCCAATTGACTGCTTTGAGTTATGAGAGAATTGCTGCCTTGAGTTAGGGAGTTGGAGATATGAAGTTGCATCTATGTATGTACAATAAGGCATGAAATGGACAGCCAGATGGGGCCCTGTTTGTTCAAATGTACGTTGCTTAGCGTGCCCATGAAGCCAAAAAAGTTAGAATTCCCAGGTATAAAACTACCTGATTTTTCTGCATTTGCCCATAGAGCAAGCACACTCTAGACTTGCTAGGCCGTCAGTTCAATTCAGTTCAATTTCAATTTTATTTATAAAGCCCAATATCATAAATCACAATTTGCCTCACAGGGCTTTACAGCATACGACATCCCTCTGTCCCTCTGGCTACCTCGCACTTGCGGTTTAGTGCTCTGCTAACTTGAATGGGGATTTAATTGTGTGTCTTCTTTGGACTTACAAATTGTTATCTCCCTAATGGATCAAATGTCGATAGTGAAAGGAGTCATGTCATGAGGGTTGTGATGCTCAAAAAAATGTTTCCACTGATAAACAGATGTCTCTTTCCCAATGTAAGACTATGGGAAAACTGTTTTTGTGGCCAGTGGCATCACTTGACAGAGCCGGAAGTTGTAATTACACTGTTTGGCCACAAAAAAGATTGGCTTCAAAACCTGGTGCACTTCCAGGGCATCTGCTCCACAGTCTTATGAATGTTGTACCCTTGCACTCTCACGGTGACACGGTAACTGAGCCCAGCAGCGAGGCTCTGAGGTTACCTGTCAATCTTGTAGCACTGGTAGTCATGGGCTTTGTTCATCTGAGAGCTCAGACATCCAGAAGGGGCTCAGAGATTGTGGCTCCTTCTCATTGAAAGAAAGCAGTTAAGGTTCAGGCATCTGATCATGATGCTCCCTGTGTGCCTTGTTGCTGAAGTCCCCAGAACACACTGGAGGAATTATATGAATCCCATCTAGCCTGGGAGTACCTGGGGATCCCCCGGGTTGAGCCAGAGGATGTTGCTGCGGAGAAAAACCTTTCTGCTGTTGGAACATCTGCTGAGTTTGCTGCCACCATGAACTGGACACAGATAGACGGTGGAACATAAATTTGAAACTGAGATTTTTTTTTTAATTTACTTTATGGCTTCTATAGTACTGTGTTACCCTGTTTTTGAATGTCTGTACATATCTGTGTGTATTTTTGTTTGTATATTAAGAAATGGTTCTAATCAATTTAGAAAAAAAAAATGAAATAAAATTATCTCTTTCTTCTCAGAGGAATTCATTGTGGCAGCTCAGAGGTTTGGCCAGGTGACACCCATGGAGGTCGACATCCTCTTCCAGCTGGCTGACTTGTCAGAGTCCCGTGGGTAAGACAGACACAGACACATACACACACACACACACGCACAGCTTTAATACCTAAATTTTGATAATGTGACTGTTTTGGGCATAATTTGGATTTTTTATATGTAGTCTAGTCTAGAGGGGATTGATATAATCTCTTAGGAGATAATTATTAGTAATGTGGATATGATGGCAATGCAGGTCGAGGCATTCATTCTATTTTTTGACTGAAACAGGCAAATAAGTTCAGAAAATTGTTGCTGTGTTACAGCTGTAATGGAGGAACAGCATCCCGCAACTGAATTCATACTTAAGTCGTTTCATTTTTTTTCCTCAGTTAGTCAGGGAGTTGTAGAGAGTAAGTCTATCCCATACTTGCCCCCCATAGCGCACCTTTAGCCCCAGGGTCCATACCTCAGAGAGACGAGCGCTTTCTTCCTTCTCAAACGTCTCTGCAAAAGGATCAAAAGAATCAGACATGACTACATCAGTGCCAGAGAATCCTCTTTCAGTCCAAAACCAATCCAAACTCCCATTTATTTGAAAAAAAGGGCAATTCCAGTCCCTATGATCCGTGGCACACAACAACTGTATGCGTTTCACATTCCCCCACTTCCTTTGCGTCTGCCTCGCGGCCCAACCAGTGCGCTCATAATTCCTAACCCCGGCCTGAGACACCACCTGATTATTATTTCTGGGCAATGGGATACTTTAATAGCCCTCTCCACTCCCCTTGATTGGAGATGCGAGAGATAATAGCCCCAAAATTCAGAGGAGAGGGGTGGGGGGGATTTGGCGTTCCCCACTCCCTCAGCCTGGGAAATCTGGGGCTGCCATAGAGATGCAGTGGAAAGACTCAGAAAGCAGTACTTTTACATCCAAAGGTTAAATATCTTTGTTATACTTGGATGAAGGGATAAAGGAGTGGGAGTTGTCAGTTCCTATAGATCGGTTGTCTTACTCAATCATGCCAAGCACAGGCCTGGATTTTTGAATGCCACAATATTTTCACATGGAACGATGGCAAAGTATCTGTAAACTTAAAGTAACTTCAGACTGACGGATCGCGCTTTCAAAGGTCATGGACTAGATGATGCATTGATGAAATATTATATTCCTCAGAGAGTTTTTACAACAGTTGAAAGTTACTTGAAACCTCTCACTCTCTCCTTTCTCTCTCCTCATCAGACGTGTTGGTTTAGTGGACATTGAGCAGATCGCTCCGCTGGAGGAAGGCGCCCTGCCCTACAACTTGGCTGAGGTCCAGAGACAGGTACAGAATATGAAGACTTGTTGATGTGTTTGGTTTCCTCTTCCACACTGGCAGCTCCTTTTTCGTCTCAGCACATTCTCTGGTGTCACCATGCAGATGAATAAGATTTATAATTAAGGATAATGATATCTCCTGTTCGCAAGAAATTGATCCCTCAAACCAAAACAACAGTTTGATTTGTGATTTAAGCATTAATTACATAGTAAATTCTTTGAAGCATTGTTTTGGAGTTACATGTGCAGGGTTCCTGTGCAGTATGAAAAGCATGGTATATGATTTTAGGATTTCCAGGTCTGAATAAATATTTAAAAAAAGAAAGAGAATATGAATAAATATTTGTGTTTTTAGACGATTGACTGTTCCCTGTTTTCTTAAATATAGAATTATGAATTTCTAAAATAAATTGATCATACAAGCAGAGTGTTTTTCAGGCATTTGGAGCAGCCATAATGCTTACCACTGTGTTAGACAGTGCGGGCTTAGTGGATAGAGCAGGCGCCCCATGTATAAGGCTGTTGCCGCAGCAGCCCGGGTTCGAGTCCAGCCTTTGGCTCTTCGCTGCATGTCATCCCCTCTCTCTCTCTCTCCCCCTTTCACACTTAGCTGTCCTGTCTATTAAAGGCAAAATGCCCAAAAAAATCTTTAAAAAAAAGATGTTAAGGAAAAATGATATTCGTATACGTAGCACTGGTTTGTTTACTTCCTCCTTGGGCGGAGATGTTTGACAGTGGAACATTGTCTGACTTTCTGCGTAGGAGCGTTGACTGAACATCCACAATGGATAAATACGTTTTTTTCAAGGGTTGGCTATTCACACTCAGATGTCAAATATGGTCTGAAAAATCTATCAAGAAGTCTTGAAATTTGAGTCTGGAAAGGTATGGAATTTTGAAATGGAAAATGTGTAGGAACCCTGCAATAAAGTAAGAGAAAGAAAAATACAGGAGACAAATCCAAACAAGTTTTGTCAGATGTAAAGTGGAAAGTTTGCCCCCCAAAACCTGCCAGTGTTAGTCAGCCCTGCTCATTTTCAAAAGTCCACACCAAGGTTCAGACCAAGTCGTGTCCAAGTAACTTCCCATCACAGACTTACAGAGACTCTTGAGAGAAAACACCACTAGACCTCTCCCTGACATGTGGTTTGTGTCTTTAAGAAAACATACAGACAAAACTCACAAACCCAGGGAAATAAAGACAAGCAGAGCCATCCTCAAGGCCTAATGAACCTCAGACATGCTTCACATTGCAAATGATAGATGGGAAGAGACTTTGCAGCAGCTAACAAGAGCAATTTGTAATGAAGAAGAGGAAGAAGGACGTATGGACAGCCAGACAGATGAGCAGAGCACTGTTTTCCTTCTTGGACTCTTTGGTCAGAGTTGTTGCCTGGTGGGTTCCAGCACTACAGTAAAGGCTTGGCCAGGCCATATTGGAGCAGGCGGGGGCCAAAGGGGAGAAAGCAAAGGGGCCCAGCACTACACAGACGCCAGTCCCACCACAATGAGCCACTTTAGGCCCTTGTGGTTTGGCCTCAGGGGCTGGCCGCCAGCAGGCTGGAGCTCTCCCTCCTCATCCTCTGCTGGTTCTCTCCATTTCCTTTTTTTGATCTACTTCTCTCTCCATCTCTCTCATTTCTCTACATGTTTGTCGGTTTGCCTTTTCTCTCTTTATATCCTGTTAACTTGTTCCCTCTTTCTCCCTCAAACATCCTGACAGTTGGTCTTGCCAAGTTTCACCAGTTCTCGGGCAGACAGAGCTGAGGAGGATGGTAGAAGTGGGGAAGGTTGTGTTTAAAGGAGACATTTGGGCAGGAAGAAACCTCTGGGGATGAAGTGAAGAGGGGGGTGGGAGTTCACTCTGACAGGTGGACCTGTTCTAGTGACTCCCATCCCCCTCATACACACAAACACACACACACACACACACACATAGACATACTTACAACACTGCACCCCTCACCTTCCCAGGGTCAAGAGGCCAGGACTGGGCTGACCAGACCAGGCAACAGGTACCTTGGGTGGAGGGGGGCAGTGTGGCTACTCTTTTCCTTTGCCATGTTTCCACCAAACACCTTCAGTATAGTAACAATATAACTGGTGCTTAACCCGTACAGACATGTACCTAAACCCTAGATCTGCTTAATGTTTACACTGCGGACAATACTCTTGAACGTAGGGGGGGTTGTTACCAGATAGTAATAGCTGTGTTACTGCTTCGTCCAGCTCTTGCTGTATTTCCTCTTCATGAGCAATGCAGATAAATACTGCGCCTTGCTAATCGTCCACGGAATAGAAATAGCGGGTTTGTGCTTTGAGTTCTTGTAGAGCAAGAATGATGATTTTTACTTGACCAATCAATGGACTGCAGTGTTTCTAGCTCCACATTTTAGTATCGCATTAGTGAAGTAGGTACTTCAACAGAGGGGTCACAGAAAAATAGTTTAGTTGGTATACAGTCCACAACTTTTGACATTGGAAACACAAAAATAATCTTTCTGATGTGTAACGAAGTGAAATGAACTGAACGGGCTGCTTGGTGGAAACGAGGCTCCACTGTATGGCTAATGCTGACTACTAACACTCTCTCACTCACGGGTGCACCAAGATCACTTTGATTCCAGTTTTAATTCGACAGCTGCTCTGACACATTAGTGTAGACCAGATGATTACGGCATGGTGAATTCTCTGAGACTGTCGACCCAAATCAGCAATAAAAAAATGTAAGCAGTCGGTATAAAGATGTTAAAATATTCCAACAGATGATACAAGCAGCTTTGTGCTTCGTGATAAGTTCAGGTAGAGAAGGGTAGTGAATGGAATATGTGTGTTTAAAAAGAAGTCATCATAAATACCCGCGCACCATTTCAACTGGGCTGGACAGCCACAAAAAAGGTTCACAGGCTGAGATGTACGACTGTCCTGAATAAATTGACATTTTTTGGCAGTGATATCAGCCTGTGAATCTTTATTGTGGCTGTCCAGCCCTGTTAAAGTGGTGTGCTGGTATTTCTTCTGCCATCTTTTCTTGGTTGTCCATTGTACTGACGCACCGAAGATACATTTTTTGTCACCCTAAGTAGGCGCAGTTTCACAACAGCCCTAAGACTTTGTAGAATAGTGAAACCATCTGTATTTAGATTGGTTCCCTGTAAGCCTCACTTTCACTGTGCACTTCTGCCTGCCACCGGGTACAATGTCCTGGGAAAAATTAAGTTTCGATTTGCCGCACAAAGGAAGCGCATCGACCGTTGCACAGCCAACACAGGAAGGGGATAGAGCTTTTGTTTTCCATGGTATCTATCGGCAGCTATCCCCGGTTACCAAAGAGCATCAATATAAATTCTTTGCTATTCCCAGACATTTTTGTATTGTATGATTTTGTGTATCTCACCAACTAAAAACTTTTACTTACTTTTATGTTCAAGTAGTTTCCCACTCTCTTTCCTGTCTGCGTAGTTTATTAATTGACCATTATACTGCATACTAATGTCCCATCATAAAAGTGATAAAAGGGTGGTCCCATGCAATGCTCTATAAGAAACAGCATTAAAGTGTACGTGGATTGGTAGAGGGAAATCAGTGTCTTAAACAGCCCCTTGTCTGGTGTAATGTCTGCTTAATTTGTTGTGTCCCACTTCTGCACTGATGTCTTCATTGTCTCCTTCCCACTGTGTGAGCAGCAATCTGGCAGTGACGTCTCCCGCTCAGTCCTCATCCAGGTGGCAGAGTCGGCCTACAGGTTCACCCTTGGCTCAGTGGCAGGGGGTAAGAGTCACGCCCCATTGGCTCCCTGCATACCTTCACCCCACCACCCACCCATCCACCTACCTGCTTGCGTGTCTACCTGCCCCCCGCCCTCTGCTGTCTTCTTAAGAAAATGGTGAGACAGACAGAGGACAATAGCCCCTCTATTGCCCCTTCCCTTGCTTATAAGAGCAATGGTTGCTCCCCTGCTTTAAAAAGAAGTGCTCCCTCTCCTTCTTTTTCTCTCTCTATCTTTGTCCTGCTCTTTACCATTCCTCTGCCTCACTCTGTCCTGTCTCTCGCCCCTGTGCGTGCCATGGGAAAACACTCCTGTGTGGATTCTTTTGTACCTGTGTGAGTGATCAGAAGAGGGAGGATGAAGGTGGGGGGTGAAGGCTGGTGCCTAGGCCTTGTGTTTGGCTTCAGACTCCCCACTGTTTTTCTACTCCTCCTCCTCCTCCTCCCTTCCTTCATTCCTCCCTTCTCCTCCTCCTTCTATCCCAAGGGAGACAGCTTAATAAGGAGGTATGGGTCTGCCATCCCTTCTTCTTTCTCGTTCTCTCTCTAATTAAGTCTGTCGCCTTGGGTCGGTTCTTTTTGTTTGTGTCCGTCTGACGGGTCGAGGACACTGGGACTCAAAACATTTCAACGTCTTTCTTAACATTATCCCCACAGACTTCCCCTTCCTCCTCTGCCTTTTCCTCCTCTTCCTCTTAAAGGGTCAGTTCACCCAAATTGCAAAGACATATTTGATCACCCATCTCAGGTGGTATCAAGCAAAGCTACCTTTAGTTTGTCCTAAACCTGTCTTACTTCTTTCTGTGCGGCTCGATGTGAGTTCCAATTTGCATTACACAACTCTGAGCAGCACAAACTTGTCATAAATTGCCGGTTTCAACCTGATGAATACCTCCTGTTAATGAGTGGGTGTGTGTTTGTGAGATTTGTTTCATTCATTTGTGAACCATTTAGTCTACATCTCTAGTTACACTTCATACAGGTCACTCTAGTCATAATAGTTATAAAGAAAAGGTACCTTAAAGATCCAGTGTGTAGGATTGAGGGGGATATATTGGCAGAAATTGAATTTAATAAGTATGTTTCTTTAGTGTATAATCACCTGAAAATAAGAATGGTCGTATCTTTGTTACCATTTATATCTGCAAAGGGGGTGGGTCCTCATCTACAGAGTCCTGCACCACCATGTTTCTGCAGAAGTGCAAAATGGACAACCCAAACACTGGCAATTATAGTTAGCAGCCCCTTACGACAAGCCAAACAGTGCCTGAAAACCACTGATTTTTAATGCAAAAGTGCTTTATTCAGTGTTTGCTTTCATTTGTTTCGGAGAGGAAGACACCTCTGCGGATAATTCAACTCTTAGTTAAAACTTCCCCGAACGTCTGGATCTTAAAAATTATCAGAGAAAAAAACTGAGCACACATTAGCATGTGCTGGGCCAGCGCAGCATCAGAAAAACCCTGATTTGTAATATGAAACTTCTTTATTCAATGTTTTTACTGCTTTAAATCATCTGGTCTGTTTGTTTTGGAGGGGAAGAGGCTATTTGGCTCCTGGAAAACGCACAAAAGGAATCCTAAGCGTGGCTTCATGCATGGCACATTGGAGAAGTTGGTTGCACTTTGCAGTCTGCAAGATGCCACTAAATCCTTCACACTGCTCCTTTAAAGTCAATCAGTACTATCTTCTCTTTACTCTTACTCTGTCTGTAACGTTTTTCAACTTTTTTTTTACTACTGCTGTCTTCAGTGGCGACACACAAAGATTTAGGCACATGAGTGGGATACAGATGTGGTTAAGGCAAGGGGAGGACAATGGTGGCGTGATCATGACAGTAAACCACCTCAGTGAATATGTGTATTGAAATACACAAAATGTACCTTCATAACGTGATTGTTTTTTTAATAAGCTTTTTTTAAATTCTCTGTAGCTGTGGGTGCCACAGCAGTGTACCCCATTGATCTGGTGAAGACACGCATGCAAAATCAGAGAAGCAGTGGTTCCCTGGTGGGAGAGCTCATGTACAAGAACAGCTTTGACTGCTTCAAGAAGGTGGTGCGCTACGAAGGTATCTTTGGACTTTACCGAGGTCAGTGTGCATCGACACAGATTTAAACCCCTGTTGTTGTTTTTTTATGTATTATATCAAATATCCACATGATGTTAGTCGTGGTTGCAAACTGTGCGGCTGAAACCATCTCTGAGGACTCCATACAGCATCTATCCTGCTACTGTAGCTTATATGAGCTGGAGTGTCTGTTATATGTTCATTATAATGCATCTCTTGAACTTTCCAGATCTTTCTTCTTGCATGTAGGAAACACTCCAACAACAGTATTTCCAAGATCATAGTGATTACCAGGGTCATGCTGCGTATAATGTACAAATGTAGGTTTAACATACAGTGTATGTAATTTTGTCAAAACTTAAATAAATTGGCCAAAGTCCATCCCCAAATTTGTATCTACAGACAGCTTTCAGGAAAACCAACTCACAGGCATTCAAATCCACAAAACAGGTTTTAAAAAATAAAAGAGCTGAGATGTGAGAGAAGAAAGAAGAAGCGAGTAGTAGGGACAATGAAAGAGGGGAGACGAGGAGAAGAAAAGTGTAGGGTGGACAGGAGGGCTGTGTGAGTTCACCTCTCTGTTGACCTGTTTCCTTTGAAGTGATTACCGGCTGGCTGGGGACTTTCAGAGCAGGACAATGAACGTCACACGCAAGACCACATACCTTAAGGCCTGTGTCACGATGTGGTGATGTCGCATGTCTGGACTCACACACTTATACCAACGCATACACAGACGCTGAGCAGACGCACAAGTATGTAGGCATGCACACACGGACATGCAGGCGACTACTTGGGCATGCAGGTACGCACATACCAGGGCAAGACATCTCTAATGACTACCTGCCCTGTCTTCAGAAGCCGGGGTTAGAGTGTCTGTGTCGGTATTGTTGGGGTCGGATTGAAGAAGGATTGAAAAAAGGTCCCCTGGAACAGTGGCGGGGCCTTTTTAAAATCCCATGATTCTGATTGACAGCGTAGGACTCCCGAGAGGAATCTTGAATGCTTGAATTTCTGTGGGAAACACAAAGGCCATCAAGAATGGAATGGCCTCACAGACACAGAGACAGACAGGTCTGGCTCCAGATAGATGGCCAGGCAGGTATCCTTACAGCCAAACTGGAGTTATGTAATATAAGTTGAAAGTCCCTCCATTGGAATCTCTCATAAACAAAATGGCACATGAGAAACAGGAGCATCTTTTCATAGGGATGATTTTGCCGCAATAAATTGGGTGTATATTCCCATGTCCTGTCATGTGTGGGCATGTATATTCTGTGCTGAAGAAAGTATGTCAGCATTCGGAAAAACAATCTTTCAAAAATGATTTTGGGCTCCTTTTAAATGAGCTCCAGGCTTCAGGTCCTTTTGCCAAGATCCAAATTGAGTATATGATTATGTGTGTGTGTGGCCTCGCTACACACAAACTACTGTAGATTATTAACTGTGTTTGTTACTTTGAGGAAACGTGTGTGTGTGTGTGTGTGTGTGTGTGTGTGTGTGTTTCTTGCCTTGGGGCTGGGTAGGGGGCCAAGTTTTATTGTGCTCTGTTGTGATTATTTTGTTTATTTTTATCCTGCTCTGGGTTGTAATTGAGGTCTGCGTAAACTTTTGGTTGGTTTGTTTTATACTCTGCCCTTTTTTCTCCTATTCTGGGAAGCAGTTTCTTTCTCTTCATCCTCTCTTTACCCCTTCTTCCTCTCTCTCTTGTTGCTACTCTGATGTCCCCACACTCCACATCAATAGATTTCATTAGCGTCTGGAGGATCTTTCAGGGTCGGACGCATGCAGCGGGAAGCCACACATCATGTGGAGTGTGTGGAAGTGGTATATGTATATGTATGTATGTGCATGTGTGTGAGTGAGTAGGGGTACCACAGCGCTCTTTTTTTCTAATCATTTCGTCGTTTTTCTAATGATAGGTCTTGTACCACAGCTACTGGGTGTGGCGCCCGAGAAAGCCATAAAGCTCACAGTAAGTCACTGCGTTAGAAGGCGCATAGACACACAGATGCACATTCACACAGACACAAAACCATGAAGCTCTGCCATCGCATCAATCTGTCGGATGGATTTGAAATTACGTGAAACTGCACGTGTAACACACGATTAGATGCAAATAATGACGTACTGTATAGCTACACACATAATCTGATTGAGTCTGTTAATTTTCTACATTTCCTACAGAAACATTGTCCACTGTATATTGACTTGATATTCATATCATGTTTCACCATACCAGCTTTAATATGGAAACAGACATCTATTCCCTCCCAGCATTTCTAACTGGTTTTATTGTTGCCGCTGCTGTTCCAAAGACAGCAGGATCATATGACATTTTCCTCAGAGCCTAGCAACTACAGTTTATCCAACTTAACCTGCTGGCATCTTACAATAGTCAATCATTTGTCTGCTTAACTACTACTTCATTATAACAAAAAACACTATGTTCAACCACTGCTCATTTTAGGAAGGCCACTACAAGAAAATGTGTTCATTTTTAGTTTTTCAAAGGCGACAACTAATCTAGATCAGGGGTGTCAAAGTCATTTCAATACATGGGCCACGTACAGTCCGATTTAATCGCAGGTGGGCCTTTTTTTTTTTGTTCAGAGAAATACATTTTAAAAAGACTAATGCATTTACAAAACAGCCTGTGATATCTCCAGAGGACAAATGTAATTTCAGTATTTGTGTTTTTCCACATTCAGTCAGTTGACTACTCACTCTCATTTCATGTGCATTTTCCCACACATCTTCACTGCTGTGTAGTAATCCAGACATCACCACACCAAACTAAAGTGAAAGAACTGTATTCTGGTCGGGGTGGAAAAGCCTTTTCATGAAGAAAGCTACTCAGTGTTTAACTTGCTCCTGAAACCTGGCACCTCTTAGCCTTCCCAAGTGCATCAGTATTAGGTGTGCAAGGTCATCCAGTGGGCTGGATTGGATCCTTTGGCGGGCCGGTTCTGGCCCCCGGGCTGTATGTTTGACACCCCTGATCTAGATGTTGGTGTCTGACTGGTCTTAGCTTCCTTGTAGCTCCTGGAGCATTTCCTGGTTGGTGGCATTAGCTAGCGGTAACGTTAGAAGCGTAGCTACTGCTCACAGCCTGGCTATTGTCCAATGCAAGAAACAACAGTGAGAATCCCAATTAGAACTAAAAACCCTTAATCTCAGTGCTATGATAAAGAAAAAAACACCTAGTAGTATTAATAAACAGGCAGATTTTGTTACTAACTGGTCTAGTAGAAATACACACTTCCTTCAAGCAGTGAAATGAGCCTTCATTTACCCGGGAGACACCTGGTGACAGAGAGCATTGCATAATTACAGCGAGGCCAGTAGGGAACCTAGAGAATCTAATAAGTTGAAGCAGAAATCTTGTCTACTGCCACTTTAAAAATCCTTGATCTTTGTCTGATTGTAACCTGTATGTTTCCAGGTGAATGACTTTGTGCGAGGGAAGACCAGACAGAGAGATGGCACAGTCCCGCTGGGAGCTGAGATCCTGGCTGGTGGATGTGTAAGTCTTAAGTCGACTGTTAATAGCCTTTTTGTAAGTAAACTAGAACTAAGTAAGGTGTCAAAAACCTGGACATGATTTAAGATAGATTACCTACTGAGTGTTACGTTCTGGGGCCTTTCTTTCATCCCATCAATTTATAAAATTTAGAAGTGAAATGGGTAAAAAAGATATTAAAGGTATAGAGTGCAGGAACTGCAGGTTACTGTTTGTGACCACACCAGGGAAAATGAAAGCCAACCTCAGATTCACTCTCGTTTTGGAACTAGCTTTGTCCGCTTGGCGTCGCCTCGCTATATTTGTGTTTTTTTTCACTGGTATCCACAATTTTTGTAGCTCCCTCTTGGATGCGTGCTGCCTACGGTGTAGCCACTTTGCCAGGGTATAGGTCCCTTTCAGTTCCTCACTCAAAATCTCTGAGAAGCCAAAGCTCTCCTACGAGTTCTATGAGAGCGCTTTCAATATGAATATGGCCACAGATATTCAGCATGTTTGCAACAGCTACAAATATAGTCAGCATTACATTTTTCAGTGTTCACCTATTTTTTCCAGAAAAGCTCAAACATGGAGTTTCTCTCTCTCCCCCTCTTCATCATCCTGGCTCTTCAAAGTGCACTGTGCTGAAAAATGATGCTGCACAGTCCACAGACAGCATATACAGTACTAAGGCAGCATACATCTCTTAACTATGTTTACCTGTTTTCTGAGTGCCGCCCCTCTGACAGTTGAGCGGACAGACATGGACCTGTTTGGAGGCCAGAAGTCTCTGTTTGTTGATGGAACGTGTAGAGATCACACATGAAAGAGCAAATGTGCATACTGTACATGCGCGTAGGAGTGTGTGCATGCATGACAAACAGAAGAGCATACAGGTGCACAGACAACACACACTTACTGAGAGGAGATGATTGACAGCAGCTGCTACCTGAGACCTCTACCAGTCTGTTACCTGCTCCCCTCCCATCATAGGTTTTGATCACTGAGCTGTCACAGTCTACCCCCAGTGCATACACACACACACACACACACACACACACACACACACTGTGAGTCCTCCAAGGCCAGCAGCTTTAGCCTGAGCAAATGAAAGAAGGTCTTTCACTCAACCCCTCTTTTGATGCTGATCACTAAAGCAAAGTATTTCAGGATACACAAGTCATTATGGGTTTAGCTCCACTCAGGCACATTCAATTGACCTTATTAGTTCTAGCAATATGTTCAAGAAATGTTTTAGCATGCTACATTTGCTGTTAATTTTACATTTCTTACGCTGATTATGTTTTGTGACGGAGACAAAAATGAAAAGGTGCACTAACCACAGGAAAGCAAATAAGCTGCAGAAATGTTCTGCACTGTACTGAGTGTGAAAAGTAGCGGTTGCCTTTTTTTATACAGCCCGTATGGATTCAGAAGTAGAACCATCACAGATGCATAGGGAGAGGAGAGGATAAATGTAGAGGAGAGGAGTGTGGATGGATGGATTTTTCCTCTTTTCCTCCGTGAGCCGTCGTGACAGCTCCTTTCATCCTGGCTGAGGCCCCGGTGTTAGTGCTGGCACTGCACTCTGCCTGCCACTTTATCTCACACACACACACACACACACACACACACACACACTCGCGCACACAATCACACACACGCATAGACGTCGAACCCTCCTGAACCCTGTTTTAGCGAGGCTCCAGCCACAGCACATGAAATCTGTTTATATCATTTGGTAGCTGTGAAAGTGTTGGTTTGGACCACAGTGTCAGCCTCAGGTCCACAGTCTATAAAGCAAAAGACAGAGAGAGAGAGAGGAAGATGGAGGGAACAGGGGATTGTAATGTTATGTGTTCGCTTTCCATGTCATAAACTTATCCCAACTTCTTCATCTCCTCTTACATGCTGTTTTCCTTCTCATCTTTTCTTGCTCTGTCCTCTTCTTACCTACCTATTTCCTCTCCTCACCTCCTCCTCTTGCTCCCTCCTCTTTCCCTCTCTAAATCCGTGGCTCAGCATCATTTAAGCTCCAGCGCCGGTTGCCAGTTTCTAATGATTATTTGGTAAGAATGGCATGCTCCGTTGACTGAGCTGGCTGGATGCTTATCTGGCAGTTACTGGCCTGCATTTTAGGACTTAAGTTACACAAAATACTTACTGGGTCATTGCTGAGGGGGGGTGGAGAGGGGGGTTAGACTGAGAGTCAAAATACAGTAATACTTTGTTCATTGTGAAAGTATCGCAGTTTGCATGGTTGGTTTGAGTCTTTGTAATGGGTTTCTTATTATTATTCTTATTATCAGAAAATCGAACACACACAGATCTGCACGTAGAGCATGAAGGGTGTTAAGTACAAATGAATTGTTATTTATGGAAAGCAGCTAATGTACTCATGTGTGTATTTGTGTTGAGGGGGGTGTGTTCCTCAAACTTAACTAAGCTCTTGGTATGCTCTCTGCAGCACACACACACACACACATAGCCAGGAGCTGTGATGCATGCATAAGGTGCTGACGTCCCAGGTTTCTACGGATCACCTTGCCTTGTAATTACCTGGGAATCATCAGAGAGCCGCCGACGCTGTCACTCCATAATCACAACCCCTCAGCCTCTCCGCCCCAACCTCGACCTTCCCTCACTTCTCTTGTTTTGACTACTCCTCTCTCTTGTTTCTGTCTCATCGTCTTTCTCTCTCTCTCATTAGCTCACTCTGTTTATTTGTCCGATCCTCTCGTTTTCTATTCGTCTCCCTCTCTCATCCGGGATGCTGAAAGTTTTTCGAGTTATTTTCCAACAGTTAAGTAGGAACGTGGGATGGTGAAGTGCACAAACAGCTCTGCACTGTCACTCCTTTTATCTCATGTTGTCAGGTCTAATTGTCAGCTCATCTCTCTGAACAATGTTGTTGTTTACTCTCCTTGAGTAAACAACATCTCCATCTCCTCCATCTCCAGTCTCATTAGTATCCAATTGAAGCAGCCAACACTGCTAGGGGCCGGAGCCAATAGCCTCTTGATGCTTACGCTATTAGCCAGCATGTAATCAACTAGGTTATTTCCATAAAACAAGTCATAAAGAGTTAGCTGTGAGATGTAGCAGCTTTAGAGCGGCAGGCCTTCTGCTATTCACAGCCTCTCATTGGGTCTGGAAGGCAAGCTGTAGCCCACTATGCTCTGTGTTATTTAAAAAGCTGCTGCACACACCTTCAATGAGACTATTATGATCTCTGTCTCTCCCTCCTCCCTCTCTTCTTGTAGGCAATATATGGTAACACTTAAAACTGAGGGACATTTAGCAAAATGAATGCCCATGTTGCAGATTGGAGCTCGATGCCTTCCCGTAAGGCAGGAGGCGACAAGCACAATCCATCATTCATAAGGAAGCGACTGAAGGCGGAGGAGAAAAGGAGTGAAACAACAACAAACAGACCAGGCCTATTTAAGACAGAAATGGCGCCATGGCAACCGATTGCTATCTAATTGCGATGTGCCACCCTTCTGCGTGTAGCTACAGTAACCACTGGCAACCGTAGCAAGAGAGAGACAATATTAAAGAAGATGAGAGAGATCGTTTGAGAAGAGGTCAAAGCAAGAAACGTTGAGAGAGGATGCTGGAAAAGCCATTCAGAGGAAGAGAGAAACAATTAAAGGAAAATAGAAGGCGTAGGAAGTCAGAAAAAGCCCACTTTCGCCCAAATGGAGTAAACATTTCTCAATATCAAGACGCATGCTGGAAATCCCGTCATGTTCCCTGACTAGACACAGTTAACCATTTGTCTCGCCACAACTCTACCACAGCAGCTACCTCTTATACTTAAAAGCCCTGCCGACCTGAAAGGCAAAGAAACCAGTCTGAACTTGCTGCAGTATTGTTGCCCTCACAAGTACAGGTTTGGAGAATGGTGCGAAGTGAGAGGTTAGAGAGGAAAAAGAGAAGTCAGAGTCCCCGCAGGGTCTGTGTGATGAAGACAAACAGCTGACAGACTTGACTGCATCAGCTGGATTTCCTGGTACTCTCCCCTATTCTCCTCCTCTCTACATGTTTGTTTTGCAGCTGGTTGCTGAGGAGGCACTATTGTTAAGTTGCATCACTTGCTGCTGTTGCGTACAAGCCAGATAATAGTTACATTTTTAGTCTTGATTATATCAAAGAAACAGCTCAACCCAAAATCAAAAATATATAATTTTCCTCTTACCTCTAGTGCTGTTTCTCAATCTAAATTGCTTTGATGTGAGTTGCCGATGCCTGCCTTCTCTTGAATATAATAACAATATTACTATATTTCTATTGGAGCACCACACACCAAGTACCATCTAAGTTCCAATACATTCAAGAGAAGGCAGGAATCTCTACGGACGATATCTCCAACACTCTGCAACTCACACCAAAACATTATAGCTTGATAAATAGCACTACAGGTAAGAGTAAAAAATGTGGTTTTGATTTTGGGGTGAACAGTCTCTTTCAAATGTTTTTAGTGTTATGTTGAAATAAACTACTTTACTAGAACTCAGACAACACACTCAGAAACTCATATTAAACATAGACAAAATCTCTGTTGACATTAGGTGTTATTTGCTACACCAGTCAATATATTAAAGCCAGTTATTATGTGCAACTGAAGTATGCCTTTGTCTTTCTGTTCCTCCAGGCTGGTGGCTCCCAGGTGATCTTCACCAACCCTCTAGAGATTGTAAAGATCCGTCTGCAGGTGGCAGGAGAGATCACCACAGGGCCGAGGGTCAGCGCCCTGTCCGTCATCAGGGACCTTGGCTTCTTTGGACTTTACAAGGTGAGAAACCTCCTTGGGGTCAGAGGTGCATGTATAGTGCACATGTCTAAATCACAAATTATTCTTTAAATTCCTCTTCTCTCTTGCTTTGGGTCTATTTTGATGCAATCTGCTTATCAGAGGATACAGAATTTTACCTTGTGTATAGAATATACAATGAAGTTATGGTTTCAGTAGTTCATTTTACTTCTTCTGAGGTGTTTCAGTGGTTATTTTGAATGATTCTAGTAAGAGATACCAAGGCGAGTACAGGTGTCTGACTAAATGTGCATAAGCAACTAGTTTGCACGAGGTAATGTGCAGAATGAAGAGCAGCATAATCCTATAAGCAGCTAACCAGGAGGCTACAGATCACATACTATGAATAAGCACAATATTCTCAGTCTTATCTGATGTTTTCAGCCACATTTTTGGTCAAGTCACAGTAGGATCAGAGAGTAGAATTACAAAATTTACGTTTCCTCCATTCCCTTCTAGAGTAGAATTATCACTGTGGTAACTTCCACCCACCATCAGCGCCAATATCCCAATGGAAATGTGTTGAGGACTCATGTCAGTCTGTCCTCCTGCCCCCAAACCCATGTTTTCATTTTGTCTTATTTTCAACTTATTATGTAAGCATGTCATTCATTCCTGTCCCAGGAGATGTGTTGGTGAGAAAATTCATTTTGAAACAGTCAATAGGCTGAAGAAATGAACCTTTAGCAGTTTAAAATAAGCCCACCACATCATATCGGTATAAAGACATTTGACATAACTACTGTAATAATAGAACTCTTGTAAAGAACGCATAACTTAAAACACAAAGCTCACATTTATCTTTAAATGAGACCTACAGTCCCGGAGGAAGCCCAAAGCCATATTTAATGTAACACTGAAATCAAGTTGGATTTGTTGCGACTAGGTTAATTAGACGTCCAGTGTCCATTCCATTGTGTTTTCATCAGCCTCACCATTTCACAGCAATCCATTATTTCTCATTACTGTTATGACTAAATCATATGTGATTTTTCTATCAACTATTGTAAAATTATACTTTACCCCACATCAGCCATCATTTAAATCAACAATTCTATGTGGTCTTCTGTTTGAGAACAAGAAAAGACACAATTTATGCTAAAAGCTGTATTTAACCTTAATTGCCATAATTGGTATTTTTCAGTGGCACGGGGCTAAAAATTACAGTGCACTGTTTGAACATATTAGAGTTGTATGATATTATGCACCCATTAGATTGTAAAGCAAGCGTGAAAAATTATAGTGTCATAAGAGGCTAATATAAAAAAATACTGTTGCGTTGGTGTGTTTAAAGAATATTTTCATTATGTTATAATTATTATTCTTAGAAATCTTATGACTTCTAACATCCATCTGTGTGCACAAGTGAAGTGGACAGTCACATAGTGGGGTTTTTTTTTTTTTTTTTTTTGGACAGCTATAGGAATCAGTGGCTACCACTAACAGTAGCAGCTTAACTGGCTCGACAAGGACATTAGCCCTCAGGGTAAAACAGAGCATGTCTAATTAAATTACTTAAATAAGTCCTAATGGAGCTCGGCGGGGGACACTCTGCTTCGACTGTAAACACAATCAACTGAGAAAATGTCAATCTCATACCTGCGGTTGTGTTCATTTGCAAGTAAGATGATCGCACTTGTGTTGTCAAATTCCAAGAAGTAAACTACTTTTCAAGAACATCTAGTCGTCCCTCAGACAGGACTTTTAATTTTGATGGTCTGCTGATTATTTGCTACGCTGAACCATATCACTCTGAGTCTCGCAGGTTTGTCTGTGTGGTTTTCTTTCTGTCTGCACCTGTCAGCTCAGCCAACTTCCATGTGCGCCTTTTGGTTCTTTTAACAAGGCTGTAATAGAGTGTGGAGCCTCCTCTTGTTTCTGTCTACCTGCCTCTTGTTCCTGTGTTTGTGTGGCTGTGCACTCACTCCTGTAATTTATGACTATGTTGAAGAGTATGTGTATGTGTGTGTGTGTGTGTGTGTGTATCCACATAGCTACTGTCTCCATTTAGCTGTCTGCGAGAATGCTGTTTGATGCAGTGTGTAAATGTGTGCATGCTTGTGCACATACTTCATTGTGTTTGTCTCCTGGTCCACGCATAGAGAGGAGACAAAGTGCATTGAGAAAGCAGTAGCGGTGTTGGCGGTAGAGGTGGCGGTGGTGGTGGTGGTGGTGGAGGAGGGGAGGCGGGGTGGAGACGAGCTTCAGCCTGCAAGCCCCAGACGGGCTGGCTCCGGAGGGGCTGCACCCAGGCACAGAGCTGCCTTTGTCAGGGTAATTATCCTGACGCTCACCCTCCGCTGGTGGAGCTACCGGTTGGTAGGGTGGCTAACGCACTAGCGCCACCATTCATCACTGGGGGAAAGTTGTCAGTGTAGGAATATCACCCTGGGTGAAGTTTCATGTTTGAGGACTTATTGTGTTGAAGTTTTTCTTGTGTGTAGGAGTACATCAGAGGCATTTTGTGTATACTTGCTCAACTAAATCTTTTAATTTCATCTCAATACACACAGTATCCGTGAGCCGCCGCACTGCCAGTGCATTACCCAGCCCAACACCCTGATATTAAGGCTTCCAGTCCCAGTCCCTGTGACGCTGCTTGTCTGTCCTGCCTTGATAGAATCTCCCAGCTTTCAGCAGCCGCTCGGGCCCCAGCCAGCCAGCAGGAGGGACAGGCAGACAAGAAGTGCCAGAGGAAAGAGAGGGAAAGAGATAGCCCAGATACCTGCCAGTCCTCTCTCTGTTTGTGTGTGTGTGTGTGTGTGTGTGTGTGTGTGTGTGTGTGTGTAGGAACCAAAGGATTATCCCATAGGAGTTAAATGAAGCCTGTCCAAAACAGGGAGACCCTGCCCAGCTCTTTAAACGCCTTCTGTTGACTGTAGTTGCTGTATCAAGCAGGTGGCAGCGGGCCAACAAGCTTGAAATACAGCAGGAAACTCAATAGGCTTGATGATATAGTGTTGTTTACAGTGGCAGACAAGGAGTCATCTTCGTCAGCCAGTCTGTCTTTCTCTGCTTTTCCCACTCTTTTTTTTTTGGTGCCTGTCAGCTTTGCTTTTGGAGCTGCCTCCCTCACCTGCTGCTGAGGACACAGATCGTTTGCACATGGAGAGGCATGATTTGTTGTGGTCGATACTTCAGAGTTCTTTTGGAAGTAGTTTCCTTGGCTGCAACATCAGTTGATGCCTGAATATCTGGTTTGTGAACAGACAGTTGAAGTTACATATTGTGGTGAGGAAAAAACCAATCCATCTTTAAAGACCTGAGCCAGAAGTCACGGTTTGAATCCCCCCTAGCATCATCAATCTTTCTCTGCTCTCCTTTCTGTTTATTCTTGTCTTTGTTTTCCATTTCTGAGAGTTTAACTCTCAACCCAATATTATAACCTAAAACTTCTCCTTTTCCCTCTGACTGTCTTTCTCCAGGGCTCCAAAGCCTGTTTCCTGCGCGACATCCCCTTCTCAGCCATCTACTTCCCCTGCTACGCCCACCTCAAGGCTCGCTTCAGTGACGAGGATGGAAGGATAGGACCAGCCAAGATGCTGCTGGCTGGAGCACTGGCAGGTAAAATACTCCAGCCTTTATACTTCAACAGAAAAATAGAGAACTATTGTATCAAGTTCAGAGGCAGACGTTAGTTTCAAGTTTCCAGATCACATTAACAAAATGTTTTGCAAGAATTATACTAGAGGGATCCTGAAATTCAAAGCTTCAAAGTACTAAACATACTGACCCTAGCATTTATCAATGTGGACGTGAGCAGGTGCTACACTTGAATCTCACGTCAGGTCTCATCTGGCGTATGCAAGTGGGAGTCAGGGTGGACTTAGTGGTGGACTAGTGAATCTGGCTGAGTTGGAGAATGGTTATTTGACCATATTCTGATTGGGATATTGGAGTGTTTGCAACCATAGATTCAATATATGAAGGGTGTAGGCTGGTGCATGTAAGGGATGTATAAGATAAATTTTCCAACGTCAGCTGGAGTGTGATTGTCTACTCCAACTTTGTTGACCGCAGCAGTGGTTTATTTCTATACTGCATTTGACAGACTTCCATTGATGTCACTTTTCAGGCTGTCAAAGAGAACCAGTTGGTTAAATTGGACCTGGAACGTCAGCATTTTCATTCTAGTTTAGAGATGTTTCTCTTCTTGGCCGTATTGCGCCTCTCCATGTTGTAAACTCAAGGACAAGGCCTCTAAAAGAGAATATATTGGGGCAGGATATTTAAAGCGACACTTACCTTTCTGGAAATTTTACGCTTTTCTTTGTTTAGGTTAAAATGCTATTAATAAGCTGATGGCACACTAAAATGTAAGTGAATTCCAGCAGAGATCAAATCTCATAATTGTACCATTCTCATATGGTTCTAAGAAATCTCAGACCGAATGCAATGATTGGCCGAGTGTCCTGTCTGTCTTCCCCATGTGGAGGCCTCTGACTGACGTAACCACTCGCGTAACATCTCTCGGGTCAATATCGGCTCTGCTGCAGCTTCATCCTGAGCTGAAAAAGGGAAAAGTTCCTGCTAGACAGGTATTTTTAGTTTGCCTCTAGTGTAACATAGGCTATAACATGATGTATGACAACACAGCATCCAGTTGCTAATGGCTAACGTTAGCCTACTGTAGCGTAGCCTCTGAAACATTAACGTTATCTTCCTTGTGTGTTTCCACTTAGTAGTAACGTTAACACTACTATCTAACGTTAGCACTGTAACCTTATTCTAAAACTCATCACTGACTCCAGTTGAGTTTTAAAACTCCAGGGTTGTGTTTGACTGTCTTGGTTGTAACATTACACTTGCTCTCCTCTTCCATGTATCTAACGTTAACTTGCCAATGCCTACGCCTATCATAAACGTAATGAGGACGTAATGGAGGAGGGGGGAGTAGACCTTTGGAGGGGGGTGGAGTTGCAGGAGGAGGGGGATGGGACTTTGAAGGGAGGCGGGTGCCAGGTACTCCAGCTTCCTCCCGCAGTCCAAAGACATGGTGACTCTAAACTGCCCGCAGGTGTAAAAGGAAGCGTGAATGGTTGTCTGTCTCTATGTGTCAGCCCTGTGATAGTCCGGTGACCTGTCCAGGGTGAACCCCGCCTCTTACTTAGTGTCATATGGGATAGACTCTAGCTCCCCCAGCGACCCCTAATAAGATCTTCGGTTACGGGTAATGAATGAATAATGAATGTCATCAACTGCTTACACTATGATCAGCATGATAAGAACGCTTCATGAATCACACGTGATCCTTAGATGATTTCTGTGCTTGGATCTGCGCTGGTTTGTACGTTAGATGGATACATGAGGGCCACTGTGTCTGTACGCGAGAATAAGAAGAAATGAAAGCAGTGAAATTGTAATTTGTCTCCTATGTTTTCACTGTATTCTCTGGCATCTCTGGTGAGACTTTGTCCAAAATCTTAAAACCAGACCGTTAACAAAAAAGATGACTTAAATTTTAAACTTTGTTATTAAGTCTGTTAAAGGGACAGTTTACCCTAACAGCAAAAATACAACATTTTCCACTTACCTGTTGAGCTATTTATCAGTCTAGGTTGTTGCAGAGTGTTGGCGATATCAGCCATAGAGAAGTCTGCTTCCTCTCCAATATAATGGAACTGTGGCACTCAGATAATGGTGCTCAAAGCGATAAAAAAAAAAACATTTGGAAAACTCAACAGTAATTTCTCTTTCTATAAATCATGATCCGGTTACTCAGGATAATTTCATGCAGGAACTATTTTCTTTCCACCAAGCTACATCCGCCAGCTACATCACCGCACAGACGGAAGCGTGTATCAACTCCTGGACAAGAGGCTGTTTTTTAGTTTCATTATATTTGAAAGAGGCCATACATCTCCAGAGCTGATATCTCCAACACTCAGTAACTCACACCAAAACAAACCAAGAGGAAAAATATGCATTTTTGATTTTTGGGTGAACTGTCCCTTAAAAGTCTGCATTACTGTATACATCTCCAGACACTACTGTCAGTATGAATGGATCCCATGATGCCAGGAACAATCTTCAACGTGTTGCATTTTTATAACTTCGCCTTTTAGAGTGTGTGTAATTTGAAAAACTGCATTTTGTCTCATAAAATATTTGACTATTCATAGTGAGCCAGAGGGCTTCAGTCCCAGAGGCAATGTATAGAGTGCTGAAGTGTATGAAAATCTTTAGTCCGGTCCAGTTTTGAACAAAGTGTGAGAACAGGTCTAAATCAGCTCTCGCCTCAGACCTCCACAGGTCTGCAGTAACAGTAGCAGAGCTCAGAGTTTGGAAGCGAGGCAGCCTCTGACCGCAGGCTCCATGGCGGTAGCTGCTAATTAGAGCGCTGCTCAGTGATTGGGGACTGGGGTTTTGGAGCTCTGCAGCAGGGAAGCGCCTCAGATGCCTGCCAACCAGGCCGACAGGGAGGCTTTCCAATCCTAATATATTGTACATGCACATACACACACACACACGCAGGCAAGCACACAAACATGCGTGTGCATACTTTATGCATGTTCATCCTGCAAGAATGCATACAGTCCTGTCTGTACGTTAGTCATAACAGTTAGCAAAGAGGCCAAGAAGACAAACATTCACTGATGACTTAACAACTTTATCGTCTGCATGAAAATATGATCCAAAGCAGAGTTTAAATATTGGATTTATCCCTAAAGCAAACACTAATGACAGACCAGCACTCCCCTGCCAAGTTAAAAGGCTTTACATTTGCATAAAAGACTTAATATTTGTTTTGAATCCTCGGAGATGTGTCAGCAGCACTCTCTCTTTGACGCAGAGGCACAGCACAACACGGAAAAATCATAAATCCTGCCTCCCTCCTCCATTTTTACTCTGGTTTCTCACCACAAGACTGGCAGCCACGGCCCACAGACTCCGAGCTGAAACGAGCCTCATGATTTCTTCATTTTTTTTCGTTACTTCGACACATTTATCTTCCCTCTTTCACATGTATTTATCAGCGGTTACAGCATTCTGGCAATTAGTGTTTTACAGTCAGCACAGGAAATTGAATTACACGCTCAGTTTGCACAGCATTATTTAGCTAGGCATTACTCTGGTCTGTGAAGAACATAGTGTTGGCCATCTCTAACTGGCATTAGCTCTGTATGTGAGAAAAAGTTCTGGTGGGAATTTTAGGCCTTATTCGCTGTGGGGTGTAAGAAATGTCCATGTTGCTTGGTCTTAGTCATGTGCTGTGTAGTCAAAACAATTAGTCAATTCATTGATTGGTATTTTGACAGAAAATTTAACTATTTTGGTAATTGTTTTATTGATCAAGTCACTATTTACACCTTTTTAAAAGGAAACTTCTGCATTTTTCAACCATTCTCCCATGTTTTTGTGTCTAAGTGACTAATGGGAACAACAGTATCTGAAACCGGTCCAGTATTGAGAGAGAGCTGCAGCCACAGCAGTCAAACAGGCTGCAAAGTAATATGCAACATCAATTTATGCCTTTTAAAATGGTCGTTTTTGCCACTGACAGGCTCAGATAGTTATTATGTGTCTGACAACATTATGGAAAGGACCCTGCAATGAGAAGAAACATTCTTCTTTACATTTCACTTGATCCGATCTGTTATTAAAACATTTCATTTCTCTGTAGGAATCCTTCCCATAATGTTGTCAGACGATTATAACAACAACCTGTCATTGGCAAAAATGGTACATTGATGGTGAGCTGCTTGGGAATTCTGAGGTCGGAGGTTCGATCCTTTTCCAGGGCAGGTGAATTTTAAAGTCCAGCGTCCAAATAAAAAGGTTAAATGCGCCTGGAGAAAAGCGTATATGTGTAGCAGCAGGATAACTCAGTGGTTAAGGCTCCTGGCTTTAGTGCGGGAGACTGGGGTTCACATCCAATGCTAGCTCAGGAATACGCTACAGCAAGGGGGAGCCAGGACAGCAGGCCAAAGTGGAGATGCCATCATCATCCCCTCATTTTATACACGATAAAAAGTGTAACTGTAAGTGTAGTTGTCATCAATTAGAGTAATTCATCAGCACCGCGACCTCTCTGCTCTTGTCTCACTTCACTCTGTTGTGTCTGTGTGTGTGTGTCTGTGTTTGAGTGTGTGTGTCTGTGGGGAGGAGGTCAGCTCTGACATGCAGAGCGCAGGAGAGAGGCTGCTTCATGATGATATATGAAACCAAAACTTTAAAAAGTAACAATAAGAGATGATTACGGCGGAGCTTATTATTATTATTATTATTATTATTACGGTCTTAAATGTGCCTCAGGCCGTTTAATACCGGGTCTCTGTACCAATCCCTGCTCGGGCCACTCAGAGATTGCTTCTGGGCCGCATGTGGCCCGCAGGCCGCTAATTGAATAGGCCTGCTATAGACATCACGTCAGGACAACACTTGTTTATTTCTATTGTTATGTAGTTTCTATATTGGCTCTAACTCAGATCCTTGTTCCTAAACTTTCTTTTGTCTCCATCGGCTATTCTCCACACCTCCTCAAAAAATCCACAGGAAGCCTACTCTCCTCTTTCCTCCTTTCCTATCTTCATCTCTCCTCTCCTCTCCTCTCCTCTCCTCTCCTCAGTGCAGGTGGTCAGTCTCCACCGGGTGCCAGTCGGTTACCTAATGCTGAGATGATTAGGCTTTCTGAATAGCTCGTTTGGCCGTTACAAAAACCAAGAAGTCAGAATAAATCGTCAAGAGGGCAGTTGATGGTAATGACCGAGCCATCAATGATTGAGCCCATTCATGGCTGAAGTGGCTGGAGTGGGGGCTCTGCAGTCACTCCCTTCAGTCAGCCAGTCACTTTCACCGGCACACGGGGCACAGTGTGCATTGCTCTCATTACCGTCCATTGTCTGGCCCCGTTCTAACGGCTGTATGAAAAGTGGGAGAGGGAGGAAAGGAAGAAAAAAGGTAGAGATTAAATAATGGCCTCGCTGGTGGTATGGATTAGTTGATGGTGAAGTGATAGGAACTGGCCCCTACTTGTGTTTAGTGTATGTATGCGGCAGACTTGCTGCAAGATGGTCAAGCTCCAAGATGATGTGTGTTAGAAGAGGGAACAAAGAATGCTGAATCCACTCGATCAGATGCAGTTACGATGATATGCAAGATTTCGTCCAACCGTTGATGGCCGCTCTCGACAAATCACCTAATTTGTTTGGAGCTGATTTTAAGTTTGTGCTCCATTTAGAAGCGAACACATCCGACGGTTTAAAAAGGATACGCGTCACACGGCTGAACAGCTTGTGCTTTCTTCCCCGCAGGCATGCCAGCGGCCTCTCTGGTGACCCCAGCTGACGTGATCAAGACCAGGCTGCAGGTGGCAGCGCGTGCCGGCCAGACCACCTACAGCGGCCTGACCGACTGTTTCTGGAAGATTCTCAGAGAGGAGGGACCCAGGGCTTTCTGGAAAGGAGCTGGAGGTAATGTTCACCAAGGCCAACATGTAATGGGCTACATTCATGTTGCCAACAGGTTGCTGGGCTGTTTGCAGCCTCAGAATTAAACTGCAGAGACTGAAAAGGGGCTGTAAAAGTACTTCCATCACCTCTTTGTGTTATTTTGATGAAATAAAAAATCCATCCAGGTTTTAATTTACAGGTAATAGTCTCTTGAAAAGATGCTACAAATAAATGTCAATCAAAGATAAAACATTACAGGACTGTGTTTCAATATCAGTACACACATTTACATTGACTTCTTACAGTTGCATACACTGGACACTACATTATTTGTAATTAGAATTATTTTAAATGTAAATTAACACATTTCTGAACCTTCTCGCAGCTCGTGTGTTCAGGTCCTCACCTCAGTTTGGTGTGACCTTGGTGACCTATGAACTCCTTCAGCGCTGGTTCTATATCGACTTTGGAGGACAGTAAGTATCACTGTCTTATTTACAAACAGTCCATGTGGAGAGCAAAGAGGCGGGACGCACTGGTGCGAAATGCAATCTCAAACTTATCGGCTATCGTCTGACGATGATTTAGCTTTTTATATGCTTTTTCCTGATTTATCTGCATTCATATCCCACTTCTACCAGAGAGAGAGAGACATGCCACAAGACCCAAAAATAATTTCTGTGCACATTAGCGGACAGATTGAAGTCCTGACTCTGACATCATGTACTTTCCCCACTTCTGAGATTGAAACAAGCTCATTTTCCTCCTCAAAATAGGTCAGTCTCAGGAATAATTCATGAGAGAGTTTGGGAAGCTCTCACAGTGACTAAGAGAGAGCTTCTTTAAACGGACAGCTGCGTCACACATGCATGTCACTGGGTGGCTCGTGGCTCTAACATGACGCTCCCTCTCTCCCAGAAGACTCAGTGAAACTAAATCAGCCGCAGATCCAATGAAAATTCGGTGTGGTTTTGGGCGAGTTGATCTGTGCTCCTTTGCTGTCCGCGTTGGCAGCCAATCACAGAGCTCGAAGTGAAATCAACGAGGGATTTGATTTGTTCTGCTCTGAGGGAGAAATGTTCCTCCTTTGATTTTCTATTAAGATGTTTATTTCTGCGGCGAGCAGTGTTGAATATGATAATATTAGGTCAAGATTTAATAATGATAACAATAAAACTCCTGCCTGTGCACGCTCTCTTTCTCCCCCACTTGGTTACAATAACATCTTATGCAGTATTTATGTTGTTCGACAGTTTTCCCCTTTACCACTCCTCACCTTCTTCTCCCTTTCTCTCCTTTATTCCAACCTCTCTCTGACTGCGCCTCCGGCTTCCTCCTCCCGTCTCTCTCTCGCTCCCTTCACACCGCAGAAAGCCTGCTGGCTCAGAGCCCACCCCCAAGTCTCGGATCAGCCTGCCGGCGCCCAACCCAGACCACATCGGAGGCTTCAGGTTGGCGGTGGCCACGTTCGCTGGCATCGAGAACAAGTTTGGGCTCCATCTCCCACGCTACACGGTGGCGGCGGCAGCAGCAGCGGCCCCCTCCAATGCAAGCACCCCCTGAACCTCCACTGGTAGTGGGAGGGGGGGGGTTAGTGAAAGAGAGGGCTTGAGTGTTAGTAGTATTTTAAGTTATTTAAAGTTCTTTATATTTTTTCTCCTCATAATCTTATTTAAATGGTAGTCTGTATGCAAGCATATGGATTAGTGAGGAAATTAACACGGGCGCACAAAGAAAACTCTTTGTAGGACTCGTGCAGTATTTGTTTTATCTTTTGATTGACATTGTATAGAGATGTATTCCAATGTGGTTTTGTTTTTCATACAGTCCAGCTGGTTCAGTATATGCACACAGGCAGCAGACGGGCTGGCAGAAGTTAAAACACACCTTAACTGCTTGCTTTCTTTGGAACATACTATGAAAAACTACATATAGTATCGCAGCTTTTTCCAGTGTCTTCCTTTTATTGCTTTATAACCAAAAGCACATTCCTCACGGGATCGTATAGCTGGCCAAAAAAAAAAAAAAAAAGACTGATCCTAAATGTTGCACTTCTGTATATATGAAAAATTCAGACATATTTTCATATCTCTACGGCTATTTTGGTCCTGAGTTGCTCAATTGTATCCACGAGAATATGACCAAAAAGTAACTTGAATGTAAAGAGGCAGCGTAACAATCTGAATGTACACAATGTTTACTGTGAGATGTTTGGTTTCAGGTCTAAATGTATGCAGATGTGTGAATATATCTGAGGGACAGCTGGCACCGACTGTAGTGTGCCACGACTGAGTATTAAAACTTGTTCAGCACAGAGGATGTAGGAGTTACATATGGTGTGTAATAACCGTGCCTTACTGTGTGTACGGCAGCAACATGTGTTCGAGAGTAAAAAGAAACTTATATTAGTAAACTGAATGTGTGTCTGAGTTTTCATTTCTACTCCCAGGTGAACGCTACAAGAAAAATCAAGACAGCAGTTCATCAGCTATGCTTTAATACTCAACATAGCAGGTTTAACAGCCAGCACTCTGCAATACAATATACCTCTTGATAATTAACAGTTCATTAAAGAATATACAGTCGTCGCTCTCGTTTGGAACAAAAGACAAAGTGCCAACACCACGCTCAATTCAGTTTCTGACACACTGACATAAAGTAGCCACAAAGCCCCACGTGTGGAAATGTCACCATAACAACTCCATGTTTATGTGTCTGGAATATTTCAGGAATGTGTCGCATGCAGGCGTAGTACAGAGAAAAGAAGCACAACATAAAGTGAACATGACATTTTGTAAACAATACATGACTAGTCTATGGACCCTGCTTTTATTTTTACGGTAGTGCAAAGCATCGTCACAGTACACATATCTTCATAAGGCTATAAGACTGCCACGTCGTATATACTGTAGGCTCACAGGTTGCAAGCAACAAATCATTTAAAAAATAAATAAGGGCGGACAAATCAGTAGAGGTCAACAGTTTACCCATTAACAGACGGTTTGCTTTTACAGGAGAGTAAATGCAAGAATACAATAAAACTGCAGTCCTGTTTGAAGCAGACAGGAACATGTAGGTAAAGGTGAAGGAACAAAACAAAACTGACTGAGTCGCACATGCTACAGTGACACCGATAAAAGCACACCAGAGGGTTGTACTACGAAGCAAGTTTGACAGCCAAGCTATCTTTGCGTTAGCGTCTGTTTCCTGTGATTTTACAGAAGGTTTCTTTTAGAGCTAGCAGGAGCAAATGGCCACAGAACACTACAAATACCTTCAGTAGTTCAATGAGAGCAAGAACAACTTGTATATGTTGTATACAGTATTCTCGCTTGGATTTTCTGCATCAACAACTGAATGCATGTACTGTAGGTCCCCATGGCAGAAACAAAACACAATGTGATGCATACAGTTTGGGCTACTTTGATTACAACACTTTGTTCCTTGGCATTACTAATGTACGGCTCAAGTTTGCATATATATCATATTCTCTTAGCCGAGAGTGTATATCGCTCTGAGAGATATCGTCATGACTTTGCAACAATAGTGACAAAGGAGTTGATAAGTGAAAGGCGCTTTTTACAGCAGATTTCATTCCAAAACTCAGCGCACGTGTGCAGCATAAGTTACCATGGTGATCTAATCAGCTTCCTGACATTTAAAACTCTGGCTTTAGGCTAAGCAGAACTCGCTAACCCACTAATCTGGCTTCGTAGTACACCCCTCTGGTCTCTGATTCCCTCTGCTTTGGTTTGGAGTCTTGCTCTATGAAGCCAGCTCCATAGGCCCCTCCTCTTCACCGTCCGCCCGGTTAGCACGGATCTCCATCAGGGTACGAGCGAAGCGTGCCCAGTCGTCAGTGTGAGCCACAGACAGCTGTAGAAAACATCAAAGAAACACAAGTAACATGACATTAGACACTAGGTTGACACATCTGCATGGTGTCATTAAATAGTATGCCATACAAATTTAAATAGAAAATTCATTACAAGAAATTTCCTAAAATGTCATAAAGTCATAGTGTGCAATTAAAAAAAAAAATCACAGTATACTATATCATACAAAACACAAAAACAAAAAAATTGTCACTGTAGTGTGCCATGAAAATGTCATGACAGTCTTAGTATAGTATGTCATGAAAAATCTGAAAAAAAAGTCATAGTATAGTATGTCATAAAAAAATCCGAAAAAAAGTCATAGTATAGTATGTCATGAAAAATCTGAAAAAAGTCATAGTATAGTATGTCATAAAAAATCTGAAAAAATGTCATAGTATAGTATGTCATAAAAAAATCCGAAAAAAAGTCATAGTATAGCATGTCATAAAAAAAATCCGAAAAAAAAGTCATAGTATAGTATGTCATAAAAAATCTGAAAAAAAGTCATAATATAGTATGTCATGAAAAATCTGAAAAAAAGTCATAGTATAGTATGTCATGAAAAATCTGAAAAAAGTCATAGTATAGTATGTCATGAAAAATCAGAAAAAAAGTCATAGTATAGTATGTCATGAAAAATCAGAAAAAAAGTCATAGTATAGTATGTCATGAAAAATCTGAAAAAAAGTCATAGTATAGTATGTCATGAAAAATCGGAAAAAAAAGTCATAGTATAGTATGTCATAAAAAATCTGAAAAAAAACCCTCATAGTATAGTATGTCATAAAAAAATCCGAAAAAAGTCATAGTATAGTATGTCATGAAAAATCTGAAAAAAAGTCATAGTATAGTATTTTATGAAAAATCTGAAAAAAGTCATAGTATAGTATGTCATAAAAAATCTGAAAAAAAAACCTCATAGTATAGTATGTCATAAAAAAATCCGAAAAAAAGTCATAGTATAGTATGTCATGAAAAATCTGAAAAAAAGTCATAGTATAGTATGTCATGAAAAATCTGAAAAAAGTCATAGTATAGTATGTCATGAAAAATCTGAAAAAAAGTCATAGTATAGTATGTCATGAAAAATCTGAAAAAAAGTCATAGTATAGTATGTTATGAAAAATCTGAAAAAAGTCATAGTATAGTATGTCATGAAAAATCCGAAAAAAAAGTCATAGTATAGTATGTCATAAAAAAATCAGAAAAAAAAGTCATAGTATAGTATGTCATAAAAAATCTGAAGAAAAAGTCATAGTATAGTATGTCATGAAAAATCTGAAAAAAAGTCATAGTATAGTATGTCATGAAAAATCCAAAAAAAAAAAAAGTCATAGTATAGTATGTCATAAAAAAAATCAGAAAAAAAGTCATAGTATAGTATGTCATAAAAAATCTGAAGAAAAAGTCATAGTATAGTATGTCATAAGAAATCTGAAAAAGTCTTAGTATAGTATGTCGTAAAAAAAAAAAATCAGAAAAAAATCTCTGTATAGTATGTCATAAAAAAAAGTCTGTATAGTTTGTCATAACAAATTACAGTACAGTAAACTATGGCATTAAAATGATTATAAAACAGTCATAGTATACTATGACATTAAACATTTCTTAATATAGCAAGTCGTAACATGAAGTCATAACAAAAAGAAATTAAGAAGAAAGTCCTATTTTAGTATGCCATAAAAAAGTCGTAAAAAAGTCATGAAAATCTTAGTTTAGTATGCTGTAAAAAAACAAAACAATAACAAAAACACATAAAGTCTTTGTATAGTATGTCATTAAAAAAAGCCTTAGTAGAGTAAACATAAAATAAACATGTATACTATTTAATTAAAAATGTCTATCATATTATGTCATGAAAAATGTCATAAAAAGTCTAATCATCTAAAAAATGACATGTATTGCATAGTAAATATGTCAGTGGTTGAGATGTTTCAGTCTGGATCAGCCATCCAGAGAAGATTCACAGGAACTGTACTGACCATAAGGCTAATACAGAATGTCAAACTGAGTGTTCTCTAAGTGTTTAGCTGCAGTCGTACACTGTGGGAGTCAGAATGAGTGGGACCAAAGCTGCGGCTGCCACCCAAGCTGTCTGTAACCGCTTTGCATGGCCAGGCTGTAATTAAACAGGAACCAGGAGGAGGGAGGCAGCCATTTTGAACCCCCCAACCCCCCACAGAGCTGGGCTGGCCGCAGCAGGGGGCTCCGACAAAACATCATGTATATGTTGCCCGAGCGTTCGCTGCATTTTAACAGACTCCAACGAGCTCAAGTGTCAAAGAAACACTGTGGGATTTAGTGTTGTCAGGCTTTAAAAAGAAGCAGGTCCAAAACATTTTCATGTCACGGAGCAGCATTGAGCCACTAACCCTGATCTACTAGCGTTTTCTTTCCCCGTGGCAGCCATCCGAAAAACCTTTGTTTTATGATTTGGACTTTCCGTATAGTAGAGGACCAATCAAAACAGTCCTGATCCCTGCTGATAAATGACCTAAGACTAGTTTGTACTGAGTAAAATAATACTGAAATGAAAGAATTTGCTATTTTGCCTTCCTGGAACCATCTCAAGGGTTGCTGCTGCTCTCATGGAACCGCTGGCATCTCTTTTTTCACATGCTGTTCCTGGTTTAAGCTATACAGGGGGGGGGTGTTTCTAGTGAAGTAAATACCCCCATCACCACCACCACATACACACTCCTCTTTGGAGTCATAAAACCTTTCAACCCAGCTCACTTTTATTGATGACTCTTCGTTACCATTAACCCAGCGCAGAGGCCACCAGCTCAGCCAAGCTTCTCTCCAACTTACCACACAACAAAAAGATGCTAAAATTAGCCCGGCGGCTAGGCTAACTTGCCCTCACATGGGGATCCTAACCAGAGCCCTGCAAACATGAGAGAACATACAGGCACAGGCAGGGTGGTTGGCCGCTTTGTGGTGATGGTAAAGTCATGTGGAGGCCATTTTACAGGGACACACAAAAGAGGGAGGGGAGAAAAAAAAATCAAACACATACATTCATGGCAATGCTGACAGTTGGGTAAACACACAGAGCTAAAAGACCTAAAATGATCGGTTGTGGCGCATGTGGAGGTTTCTCCTCTTATAGTACATGTCTTTCGCCAAAGTCAGTGGA